AATCAACAGTTGACCTCAGTTCATGAAGATACAAGACCAAAGCTGGGAAAAAGCCAGAAATGAAGCAAAAAAAAAAAAAAATACTATCACAATAGTACAGGGAAACCCAGGATCTTTTGAGGCCAGAGACTACCCCTAAATAGCTTTTTGTCTTCTGGATGGGCAGGAAAAGTAGAGGACAGAAATATAAAAACTTAAGATTCACAAATGAACTGATTGTGCAATGAGCCCCTGCACATTACCTCTTTCATAGCAACATGGTTTATTAAGATTATTGACAGCCTTCTAGTGCATCAATTTGCAAATGATACTAAGCTGGCAGGAATAGCCAACACACCAGAAAACAAGCTCAAGATCCCAAAAGATCTTGATAGACTTGAACAATGGCCCCTATCCAACAACATGAAATTTACACTTAGGCAGGAAAAACCAAAGGTACAAGTACAGATTAAGCGAAACCTGGCTCAAAAACAGTAACTGTGAGAGGGACCTTGGAGTCCTAGTGGACAATCATTTAAATATGAGCCAGCAGTGTGCAGCAACAGCCAAAAAGGGAAGCCAATGCAACCCTTAGTTATATAAACAGAGGCATAGAATCAAATCATGTGAAGTATTAGTACAGTGGTTCTCAACCTTTTTAATGCCGCGACCCCCAACCAGTCGTAAGTTGAGGACTACTCAACCGGTCGTAAGTCGAGGACTACTCAACTGGTGCAGCACCATTTGCAGAATGGGACTTTTGGCGGGCTCAGCAGGGCAGAGACAGCCTGGACAATTCCTATTGGCTTTTGAAAGCCAATAGAATTAGACTCTATTCAAGAGAGTCTATTCTATTGGTTTTCAAAAGCCAATAGAATAAAAGGGAGTAGCACAGCTAAGGAAAAGGGGGAAAAAAATGGTGGACTGCATTGTTTGGCGACCCCCGTGAAATGGTCGTTCGACCCCAAATGGGGTCCCGACCCACAGGTTGAGAACCACTGTATTAGTACCACTTTATAAAACCTTAGTAAGACCACGCCTGGAATAATGCATCCAGTTTTGGTCACCACACTACAGAAAAGATGTTGAGACTTTGGGAAAAGTGCAGAGAAGAACAATTAAGATGATTAAAGACCTGTAGACTAAAACATATGAAGAACAGTTGCAGGATTTTAGTTTGGCTAGTTAGAGGAAAGAAGGATTAGGGGTGACATGATAGCAGTATTCCAATATTTGAGGGGCTGCCACAAAGAAGAAGGGGTCAACTTATTTTTCAAAGCACCAAAGAGCAGCACAAGAAACAATGAGTGGAAACTAATCAAGGAGAGAAGCAGTGTTAGGAGAAACTTCCCAACAGTGAGAACAATTAACCAGCGGAGCAGCTTGCCTTCAGAAACTGGGTGCTTCATCATTGGAAGTTTTTAAGAAGAGATGTGCTTATGAACATCTCACGAAATGAACTCAGGACCCCACTGAGTCAACAGTTTTGCTTTTACGATCGTATTAGGTCTAAGCTTCCTTTTTCTTCTTCTCTCCTGCAAATTTTCAGGCCAATTTTCAGGTTCAATGCTCAGAAAAGGCTGAGTGCAATTCTGTTGCACTGTATGGGACATCTGTGTGGTCACTGAAGGAGATGCTTGCTTTGCCCCACCTCTCACTTCCTAGTTTTCTTCCATGGTAGTCAGATAACAGGACTTGAAAAAGAGATCAGAATCATCAAGTCAGAAGGTATGCCTCTTTAGCAGATAGAAGAAATACGGGCACTTGTAAGACGCTAAGAAAAAGACACAGGCATGTCTTGAGCAGAGGTTTGAAGCTGCAGGACACAGCTTGACAAACTCTGAGTTTATTGCTTCTTATATACTTGCTACATACACCAGCTTAACTATTAGATGCTGACAAAGGTTTCTTCTTTGGAAAATGTCTTCATGTAAGCAACTATTTTCTAGTAACACATTACATGGTCAAAGACCAGGTAAGAACAAATACAGGTAGATCAAAAGGAGAAAGAACTGACAAAGACAGGAAGAGATAGGAAGGAACTTAAGCAGATTATCTGTTTAGGTAGGTGAGGCATTAAGTCAAAAGTGGATGACCTTCTGGCTGCTTCGCTAAGACAAAGGGTATCAAAAGGTTATGAGGTTTGTCGGGGGGAAAGCACGGCAGTTTGCTGCGTGTGCATTTTTCCCCACAGGCACTTGAACTGGTCTGTTGATTATGACCAACAACTGATTGGCCAAGAGAATTCTCTGTTCATCTATTGACAAGGCAGGAAAGTTCTCATTGGCTGTGGATTCCCCACAGAGGACCACAGATTTGCAGAGCTTTAAACATGCCAGTTCTTTTATGGTTTTAGTAACTCACTCAAGCTGCACTTCATTTCAGTTGTGAAATTAGGAGACTAGGGACTGGAAGCTGGAAGGTATTCCTATGAATATTGCTTAATAATGTCCGAAATGGTATATCATTTGAGGCCAAGTTGTCTGAGGGGAGCCTATCTCTCATGATTTCTATCTGGGTGGTAAGAGTGTGCTGAGCAATGGGTGCGGCATTAAGCTCTGAGCATTGGCATGTTCTAGATCTCTTCATCTGAGCAATGCCATCTGTCAGGAAGCATGCCTTCCCTGTGACAGCACCTGCTCTCCAGAGATCTGTATGTTTTCCATTCAGATGATGTTTGGGAGGCCATGAAAACCTGGCTGTTCTTCCAAACTTAGGGATCAAGTGAATAGATGAGTTGCTGGATGAATCTCTGTATTGATTGGCCAGAGGCTAAGTGGTTTGTTTATAGTGCATTGTGATTTTTTTTTAAATCTTGTTATACATTTAATATTATGCAAATTGCCCAGAATCATTTTTAAATTGAATGGTGCCTAAAAATAAATAAATAAACCTTTCTACACAGACCAACTGGATCCTTGAAAATCTAACACCGGAATATCTGATAGATTTCATATTCCAGTCATTTCTTTGAGACCAGCTTTTGAACTCCTAGTTCAAGTGCCTTTCTTTTCAGGGGTTAAAGGTGGTCTCAGTTATAGAACATAATTTCCCAGAAATATTTACTGTTGTGCCTACTCTTGCAATTTTTTTAACAATATCTTATTAATGAAGTTACAGTTCTTTAGCCTGATGCGGCAGCTACTTTATACTAATGAGCAGGAACCATTGTTCAATAGCACTGTATGTGTTTGACAAGAAAGTCCCAGATTCAGTTTCTGGCATCTCCAGTTTTCAAAAATCAAGAAATAGATGAAAAATGACTCCCTTCTCTTCCTGAGTCTTTGGAGAACAATGGTTCTAGCCTGAAATGGTACCTATACTAAACTAGATAGAAAAACAGCTCATTCTGGTTGAGAGCAATTCCCACCGGATGTTATGACCCATTTGTATTTTTGTTTTTGAAAGCCTATATAGGATCACTTGTTTAAGCGGGGGTTGGACTAGAAGACCTCCAAGGCCCCTTCCAAGACTCCGTTACTGCCTTGAATGCAGTTATAATGCAGAAGAGCCGTGATGGCACAGTGGTTAGAATGTGGTATTGCAGGCTAATTCTTCCGAGTGCCAGCATGTTCAATTCTCACTGGCTCAAAGTTGACTCAGTCTTCCATCCTTCCAAGCTTAGTAAAATGAGGACCCAGATTGTTGGTGGCAATATGCTGATTCTACAAACCGCTTAGAGAGGGCTGTAAAGCACTATGAAGTGAGGGAATAGAAGGGTAACTCATCAGATTTGCAGATGTCACTAAGCTGGCAGGAATAGCCAACATCCCAGAAGACAAGCTCAGGATCCAAAAAGATCTTGACAGACTTGAACAATGGGCCCTATGCAAAAATATGAAATTTAATATGAAGAAAAGCAAGGTTTTACACCTAGGCAGGGAAAACCAAAGGCACAAGTACAGATTAGGTGAAACCTGGCTCAAAAACAGTAACTGTGAGATGAACCTTAGAGTCCTAACAGACGATCACTTAAACATGAGCCAGCAGTGTGCGGCAGCAGCCAAAAAAGCTAATATAATCCTTGGTTGTATAAACAGAGGCATCGAACCAAAATCACATGAAGTATTAGTACCACTTTATAAAGCCTTAGTAACATCACACTTGGAATACTGCATCCAGTTTTGGTTAGCACACTACAAAAAAGATGTTGAGGCTTTGTAAAAAGTGCAAAGAGCAACTAAGGTGATTAAGGGCCTGGAGACAAAAACATAGGAATAATGGTTGCAGGAACTGGGTACGGCCAGTCTAGAGAAAAGGACTAGGGGTGACATGATAGCAGTATTCCAGTATTTGAGGGGCTTCCACAAAGAAGAAGGGGACAACTTATTTTCCAAAGCACCAGAAGGCAAGACAAGAAACAATGGATGGAAACTAATCAAGGGGAGGAGTAACCTGGAACTAAGGAGAAACTGCCTAACTGAGGGCAATTAACCCATGGAACAGCTTGCCTTCAGAAGTTGTAGGTGCTTCATCACTGGAAGTTTTTTTAAAAAGACTGGACAGCCACCTGTCTGAAATGATACAGGGTCTCCTGCTTGAGCTGGAGGTTGGACTAGAAGACTTCCAAAGGTCCCTTCCAGCTCTATTCTGATTCAATATAAGTCTAAATGCTCTTGCTATTGCTATATACAAAGATAGAAGAGGGAGGGATACAAATTCACTCTTAACTTGACTAGCCCAGTGGTCAGGATAAGGACTGACCATGAACATTTCCATAGAGATAATTATCCTAAGATGATTTTAGCAACTGTGTCTTGCCAGGTTCATTTGTTTCCTTGGCAGAGTTCCCAGTTCTACAGTATCTTTTCCCTCTTATTTTATTTGATGTTTTTTCTTTCTTTCTCTCAGATGGATGACCATACTCTGTAAGTTTATCCTTTGTTTTTAAAAAAGGGTATGTATGTAGAAATAGACACAAGACTTATCTTTAATGTGACAAGCTTTATTACAGTATATGTTTGAAAAGTGCCTATTAGTATCCTTATTAATAACTCATTTTGTTTTTTTTCATTCTGCAGAGAAAATGCCTTCTCAAGAAGCTACGGCTGGCCTTTTTTCAATAATCCTGTGTCTTGCAGGAAACATTGCACTCACAGCTGGTAAGAAATATTTGAAGCACAGGGGCACTCTTCTGGAATTGTGTTGTTTTGGTTTGTATTAACATCTACGAAGTTTAGAGAAAAATATTAATGTCCAGCTCCATTGTCATTCACAAATATTGTTCATTTTATGTGGTAACTCTTCATTTGCTTCAGCATATTTTATTGAATCAGCTTCAGCTGGCTAGCTTTATTCATTGTATTAAGACTATGTTAAGTTAAATTAAGACTATGGCTTACAACCCACAATGGCTTGGTTCATACGTCCTGTTAAGACAAAGCCAAGCAAACCACATTAAGGTTAGTGTCATATGTGAATCCTTATTGTCTGAAGAGGAAATAGAGAATGGCCTTGAAGGACAGTAGGAAGATCTGTTACCAAGGCAACAATCAGACAATCCTGTCTTGAGCCTATTTCAAGAAGATAAAATGAGGGAAGCACATTCATACTTACAAAATGTTGTTACTATGACTGTTCTAATTAAAATATGTATCAGAACACCACAAATATAAATGGCATTTGTTTCTTAATGTGGTCTACCTTATAGGGCTGACACCTATTCCTTCAAAAACTCCTACCCCTTCTTACTTTCTGCTCCATACGCTTGTAACTTATAACTCCTTGCAAGAACAACTATCTCGGTTTTACCAGATCTCTCAAAAATTCAACTTTTTCACTGAAATTGCTGGAAATCTCTTCCCGTGACTTTAACAGTAAAACAGTTGGTGACTTCCAGTAAGCTATTTAGCCATATTCATATACTGTTGTGAGCATTCCCAACATTATAATCTTCATTTTCACCACTTCTGTGATTTTTCTTTCCACAAAAGAATCTCTTTGTGCAGTGTTTCCTTGTTTACTCTTTCCTTGGCATAGTGTCCCATTTCCTCTGCTGTTTTCCGCCGGGTTGAAGTTTAGAACATTCAGCCTTGTATTTTGTGAAATGCCATACACGTAGATGTGGCTGTCTAGCATTAGAGAGCACCGATTACTTTGTGGATAATTATGCCCAGTTTCAGGAGAAGATAAAAAGGGGGGAGTAAAATCGAAGAGGGAAAGAATTCCACTTACAATATCACACTCTCCTAGCAAAAGGCCGTGAAAGCTGTAGGATCATTATAAAAACCTTAAACATTGACACCCAGAAGCTATACGTAGCTCTTTTTTAATGAGATGCCTTATTTGCTTTAAGGGAAATAATTTTCAAGATGGTCTTTGACCAATGTTAAAATGTATTTTGTGTCTGAAGAAATGGAAAAAAAAATGCACCAGCCTTCATTAGGGATGGGGACCAGGTGGGGATTCCAGTGACAAGTTCTGCAGAACATCTTGAACTATTGATTCAAGTGATGAATATTCCCAATTGGCTTTTGCCTCCATTCTTGTATTGTGCCTTACCTTTTTTTCTGGGATTCTCAAAGTAATATTATCAGGTACCCAGAGAGCTTCCATTCATGGATTATTGATCCAACTAAAACTTGCTTCTTGTCTCCTCTATCATTACTGCTTCTGAAAGCATTTAACCCTAAATATTCATTGAATATAGGCAATCTTTCAGGCACCCCAGATGTCAAAGCAGAACTTCAGGGGACATTCAGTGCATTTACATGAGTGTGCATGTGCATACAGACACACATCCTCCCAGATACATTTCTATGCATAGACGTATACTGAGTCTATATCCAACCTATTTTTCACTAATCATTGACTCTCTCTCATTCTTTTTTGGTATCAAAACTGCCACACCTATTTCATTGTTCCAAAGTCTGCTATATCTATGTTCATATCTTGGGCAGATCATGATGGGATGCTTATATTTCTGATGTTTATCCCACCTACTATAGCAATAGGTTTATTTAATAACCGAGCAGAAAGAAGCAACATGTAAGTAGTTTACACATTTCTTTTTTTTTCAGCACAGTTTGGGTAGTGCATGAGCTATGTGGAAGGCTTGTATATGAACATAGCCAAATTGAAATTTGAAAGGCACAGTCTCATCTTGTGTTGTCACTTTTAGACATTATCCCACCATTCACTGTCACTATAACTTTTAACTATCACGATATCTTTTAAACCTTCCACCAGTTCTTAAAGATGGTCAGAAAGAAGGTAGAATTCGGGCTACCCTCTAAATAAAGATTGCACCAATTGCAGTCTCTATAAAATGTGCATTGTTTAAATTCACATATCTGTCAATTATATTTTCTTTTGTATTACAGGTCAGCCGAACTGTATCTGTATGCAATCAGTATGTTCAGAAAATTTCACATGCTCAGGAGATTGGTGTTTTGTAAGCAAACACTTGGAGAATGAAAAAATGGTCAATAAGAAAGGCTGTCTGAAGGAAGCAAATGAGTTTTGCTGGGGCTCTATCACTAAAACCTACGGCATAAAATGCTGCCAGGGCAACATGTGTAATTTGAATCTTTCCATCCGGCTAATAGGTATTTTTTTTTAATTTGCTTATATGAAGAGTATTTTCCCCTAAACAGGAACAAGATTGTGTGCCTTTTGATTTTCCCCCTACAATAATATATACAATATGTTGTAGTATTGTATTATACACATGCACACATAGATATAAAGCAAGCAGTTGTAATCTTTCCATTCTTGGACAAAATGAGATGCCACACATTTTGTGAATGGATTATCTAATCAACCCTATTTAATGTTATAATTCTGCATTCTTTTTAAACTGTATTGTTACTCACCATAATTATCTCACGTGCAAAAAGATAGAAATAAATCAGATTAATATAAAAAAAAGGACAAGACCAAGACCAGATGGATTACACCCCAAGGTTCTGAAGGAACTAGCAGATGTGATCTCAGAACCACTGAACTATATCTTTCAAAGATCCTGGAGCACTGGGGAACTACCAGAGGACTAGAAAAGAGCTGATGTAGTTCCCATCTCCAAAAAAAGGGGAAAAATAGATCCAGGAAACTACAGACCTATCAGCCTGACCTCAATACCTGGGAAGATTCTGGAAAAGATAATCAAGCAACAAATCAGTGAACCTCTAGAGGCAAGCAAAGTCATAACCAAGAGCCAACATTGTCAAAACAGATCAGGCCAGACAAATCTTATTGCATTCTTTGACCAGGTGACAAAATTAGTGGACCAGAGGAATGCTGTGCATATCATTTACTTGGATTTCACTACAGCATTTGATAAAGTAGACCACAACCTACTACTTGATAAGATAGAAAAATGTGGGTTGGACAGCATCACCAGATGGATCCGTAGCTGGCTGACCGGCCGTACTCAGTGTGTGGTCCTCAAAGGAACTGCATCTACATGGAGGGAAGTGTGTAGTGGGGTGCCCCAGGGCTCTGTTTTAGGCCCAGTACTTTTCAACATCTTAATCAATTATTTGGATGAGGGGATAGATGGGAAACTCATCAAATTTGCAGCTGACACCAAGCTGGCAGGAATAGCTAACACTCTAGAAGATAGGCTTAAGATGCAGAAGGATCTTGACAGACTTGAACATTGGGCGCTATCTAACAAAATGAAATTCGATGGTGAAAAAGTAAGATTCTATAGTTAGGCAAGAAAAAACAAATGCACAGGTACAGTACAGGTGGTACCTTGCTCAGTAGTAGTAACTGTGAGAGAGATCTTGGAGTCCTAGTGGACAATCACTTAAATATGAGCCAGCAGTGTGTTGCAGCTGCCAAAAAAGCCAACAGAGTTCTAGGTTGCATTAACAGAGGGATAGAATCAAGATCACGTGAAGTGTTAATGCCACTTTATGGTGCCTTGATAAGACCACATTTGGAATACTGCATCCAGTTTTGGTCACCACGATGTAAAAAAGATGTTGAGATTCTAGAAAGAGTACAGAGAAGAGCAACAAAGATGATCAGGGGACTGGAGACTAAAAGATATAAAGAGCAGTTGCTGGAATTGGGTATGCCTAGTTTAATGAAAAGAAGGACTAGGGGTGACGTGATAGCAGTGTTCCAATATCTCAGGGGTTGCTGCAAAAAAGAGGGAATTCTCCAAAACACTTGAGGGCAGGACAAGAAGCAATGGATGGAAACTAATCAAGGAGAGAAGCAACCTAGAACTAAGAAGAAATTTCTTGACATAGCAATTAATCAGTGGAACAACCTGCCTCCAGAAGTTGTGAATGCTCCAATACTGGAAGTTTTTAAGAAGAGATTGGACAACTATTTATCTGAAATGGTATAGGATTTCCTGCCTGAGCAGGGGGTTGGACTAGAAGACCTCCAAGGTCCCTTCCAGCTCTATTCTATGCTATGTTATGCTATGCTATTCTATTCTATTCTATTCTATTCTATTCTATTCTATTCTATTCTATTTGCCAAGTAAAGAAATAATCTTCATTAGGGCAAACGGAAGTTGATCCCTATCTCTATTTTTAGGATCACTGAGATATTTAGCAAATTATTTACTTAAATAAAAATGCTATCAAGGATCGGGTTTGAAATAAACTGAATAGAATAGAATATGAGGAGCCTGTACCAAAATCTTTCAATGTGCTGTACATCTCATAGCAGAAAGACTGAAGCTTAGTCATGTTCTCAGAGAAACATCCCCAAACCCTGTTAACATGGACCAAGGGAATATGTGTAATAAAAACAGATGAAGTGTTTGTTTAGTGCCATATGGCCTGTATGGCACTAAACATGGGGGCTAACGTGTTCTTAGATTCCCTCCCCTTGTAAATGCTTCTGTTCAGTATCAACACAGAGCAGGACCCTTGAATCTGGATCCTACCAAGCTTTCAGGAAGTGCGAACTACCTGTCTGTTTTTCTTAAAGCCACTTGACGGTTTTGGTTTTGTGCAGAAGACAGGTATCCAATAAGATTAGGAGCCTGCTAATCTTTCCTGCTTTTTAGAATCATAGGACCAGAATGGACCTTGGAGGTCTTCTAGTCCCTGCCCAAGGCAGGACACTTTGCATCACCCCAGACAAATGATTGTCCAATCTTGTCTTGAAAAACTCCAGTGATGGAGCACCCACAACTCCAGGAAACAAACTCTCCCTTTGATTAATTGTTCCTACTGTCAAGAAATTTATCCTTAGTTCTAGGCTGGATCTCTCTTTAACCAGCTTCCACCCATTGTTTCTTGTCCTACCCTCAGCTGCTTTGGAGAATAAGTTGAGCCGTGCTCCTCTCTCTGACAGCCCCTCAAGTCCTAGAAGACAGCTAACATGTCGCCCCTAACCCTTCTCTTTGTTAGGCTAGACATCCCTAGTTCCCTTAATGGTGCATCATTTTAATCACCTCTTGGATACCATATTAATCCCATTTCTTGTTAATTATATCGTCAGAGGAAATGAAAACCCAAAGACTATATGGCTTCCTGTGTTATGGAGTAAAGAAATTCTGATGCCTACTTCCGGGGGGGATATTTCCATTTGTTTAGAACAGTGGTTCTCAACCTGTGGGTCGGGACCCCATTTGGGGTCGAACGACCATTTCACGGGGGTCGCCAAACAAAGCAGTCCGCCATTTTTTCCCCCCTTTTCCTTAGCTGTGCTACTCCCTTTTATTCTATTGGCTTTTAAAAGCCAATAGAATAGACTCTCTTGAATAGAGTCTAATTCTATTGGCTTTCAAAAGCCCATAGGAATTGTCCAGGCTGTCTCTGCCCTGCTGAGCCCGCCAAAAGTCCCATTCTGCAAACGGTGCTGCACCAGTTGAGTAGTCCTCGACTTACGACTGGTTGAGTAGTCCTCGACTTACGACCAGTTGGGGGTCATGGCATTAAAAAGGTTGAGAACCACTGGTTTAGAATAACTGGGAAGTTATACATGGTTAATCTATAGGACCCGTTGCCATCAGAAAAGCAGCAGTAACCAACTTTAATCCCGGGATTTGATCATTGGACTTGTTTATGAATATAGAAATACCACTTGTTAGGGTTGATTCTAGCACAAAGGGTCATTGTATTTTATGTTTGCATCCGTACCAGAAAAGTCAGGAATTACTTTTTTCTACAGTTTTTTTTCCCTTCTTCTCTCCATTTTCCCAATTTTGCTTTTTCTTTTCCTTCTTTTCTCTCTAATTTCTTTTTTTTAAATTTTTTCTGTGCCGATAGTCCTCAATTTACAACAGTTCATTTAGTGACCATTCTAAGTTACAACAGCATAGGAAAAAGTGGCTTATGACGGTTTTTCATATGACCGTTTGCAGCATCCCCATGGTCACATGATCAAAATTTGGATGCTTGGCAACTGGTTCATATTCGTGACGGTCTCAGTGTCCCGGGGTCATGTGATCACCTTTTGCAACCTTCTGGTGAGCAAAGTCAAGGGGGAAGCCAGATCCACTTAAGAACCAGGCTAATAACTTATCAACAGCAATGATTCACTTAACAACTGTGGCGAGAAAGGTCATAAAATGGGGCAAAACTCACTGAGCAAATGTCTCATTTAGCAACGTAAATTTGGGGTTCAATTGTGGTCATAAGTCGAGGACTGCCTGTATTTTGTATATATTTTTTGAAATGTAACAAAGTTTTATAAAAAGAAAAGAAAAGCAGTAATCACTAAATGGATTCTTCTTCCAATCAGATGAAGACCTGCCTGAAGAGGGCCCATCTTTGAAGAATCTTCTCCTGATGGTCCTGGTTCCACTGTTTGCTATTTTGATTCTCATTATATTAGTTGGTCTTTTTGTCTGGAAATGGGCCCAAAGCCGGCGGAGACATATGCCATTTGGGTCTAATGAACTGGGCGATGTGGATTTTATGCTGAAGAACTCTCTGGCTGGGGACAACACCTTAGAAGTAAGTCTGCATTAGGAATGGCATTTCAATGCCACTGGGGTTAGTTGTTCACCTTATTCTAAGCCAAAATTGTTTTAATGCTGACAGGTTAGGTTCAAATATCATGACCTGCACTTGTACTGATTGCCTTTGGCTTGTTTTGCCTTACTGCTGTTGAATATTTTCCATTCTAAATTGTTCAGCCTTGGTTTCTTCGTTGATTGCCCCACCCCTGGGATGAATATATTTGGTTGTAATTTACATATTCCCTGCTATTGTTATCACTTTTGCCTTCTCCCATTGGAAGAATCCTAGAGATCCACTAAAGAGGAGTCCCCAACCCCCAGTCTGTGAACCGGTACCGGGCCGTGGCATGCCAGCAACCGGTCCGCACAAACAAGCAAAGTCCCATCCGTGGGATGCAGGCAGCACACAAAACCATGCACCCTCCGGTCCGCAGAAAAACCGGTCCCTGGTGCCCAAAAGGTTGGGGACCTCTGTACTAAAGTTTCTTTCAAAGTTACTTCAATATGAACTGTAGAGGAGAAGTTTTCTGAGATGAGAAGCCAGATAAGCTAAATCAAGATAAACCGAAACGACGAAAAGGGCATGAGAGTAATTTCTGGCTGGTGTTAGATCTTGACTTCTTATTCTTTCCAACCCAAGTGAACATTGGAAAGAAATTACAGGTAGTCCTCAATTTACAAGAGTTTGTTTAGTAAACAAAATTACAAGGGCATTGAAAAAAAGTGATTTATGACCATTTTTCACACTTATTACCATTGTAGCATTCTCCCGAAGTCATGTGATCAAAATTCAGACATTTGGCAACTGGTTTATATTTATGACGGTTATAGTGTCCTGGCACCATGTGATCTGCTTTTGCGACTTCCTATGACAAACAAAGTCAATAGGGAAGCCAGATTGACTTAACAACCGGGTTACTAATTTATCTCCTGCAATGATTCACTTAACAACTGTGGCATGAAAGGTTGTAAAATGGGGCAAAATTCACCTAACAAACGTCTCACTTAACAACAGAAATGTTGGCCTCCATTGTGGTCGTAAGTCGAGGACTATCTGTACACAAAGTAGATCAAGACCGTCTTTCCTTCAGCGGCATAATACTTTGAAAAATGTACAGATTAAAAATGAATTTGGAATGGCAGGAAAAACTGGTGAAAGAAATGCTGGATTTGAAAATGGGGATGATCCAAGTAGACACTGCAGAGGGGGAAAAAAATCCAGAAACACCCTCTGCACACACACAGACCCCAATGTATCTCTGTAGGAGAAGCCCTTGAACAGCTGCTTGGAATATTCATGATTGCTCCATTCTAAGCCTCCCTCCCTCCCTCCTGATTATGTGGCCCCCAGCAGAGCACATTATGTGGCCCCCAGCAGAGCACATACTTCCCATGCACATGTACAGGTAATCCTTGACTTACAACAGTTCGTTTAGTGACCGTTCAAAGTTACAATGGCACTGAAAAATGGGACTTATGACTGTTTTACAGAGTTACGACCCTGGCAGTAGCCCCACAATCACGTGATCAAACCTCAGAGGCTTGGCAACTGGTTTATTTATTTATTTATGACGGTGGCAGGGTCCCTGGGATCATGTGATCACCTTTTGCGACCTTCTGACAAGCAAAATCAAGGGGGGAAGCCAGATTCACTTAACAACCGGGTTACTAACTTAACAACTGCAGTGATTCACTTAACAACCGGGATAAGCAAGGTTGTAAAATGGAGCAAAGCTCACTTAGCAAATGTCTCACTTAGCAACAGAAATTTTGGGCTCAGTTGCGCTTGTAAGTCGAGGACTACCTGTATACCAAAAAGGTATGCCATACAAAGAGAAAGCAGAAACTTACACAGATGCAACCTATTACTTCATCACACCGAAGAAAATACAGACACCTCCTGTGCAGTTAACTGCAGTTGTCACTGCAGGTAAAAAGGTTAGAAAGAATTCCAGGTATTGGGGTGGGGGAGAAGCCAGCAAAAGGAAGATCATGGTCAAAATGGGCCAGATTTTGCCAGGGATTACAAGGGGGGGGGGAACCCTGAAAAAAGTTCCCAGTGCATTGCTGTGATGGAAGCAATTGCCACATAATGCTGCCAACCCCTCCTTCCTTCGTGGGCATGTGGTGCAGAGTACATCTTACTAAGGAGTTGGAAATTCCAGAAGCTGGCTTGCCATACTTATGACTCTCACCAAAATATACCTGTTCATCTATTCCTGTAAGGCAGCGGTTCTCAACCTATGGGTCGCGACCCCATTTGGGGTCGATCGACCATTTTTCGGGGGTCGCCAAAGGTGGCGATCTGCCATTTTTCGCGGTGCCGTGCACGCGCGTTGCGCATGGGGGCGCTGCCGTGCACGCGCGTCGCGCATGGGGCGGCCCCGTGCACACGCGTCGCACATGGGGGCGGTGCCGTGCACGCGCATCACGCATGGGGGGCCGTCGCGCATGCGCGTCGCACATGGGGGCGCATGCGCAGAACGTTTGTGTGACGGGGGTCAACGTCACACAAACGTTGAGAAGCACTGCTCTAAGGTTCTTCACATGTTTGATTTGTATTCAGGTCCTGCTGAATGATGACTGCACCACTGGAAGTGGGTCTGGATTGCCTTTTCTAGTCCAAAGAACTGTGGCTCGGCAGATCACCTTGGTTGAATGTGTTGGTAAGCCAAGGAGAGAAAGAAATGTCAGAATTGTCACCAACAGAGAACTGCTGAACCTCTTGGAAACAAGAATATATGTTCCAGTTCTCTGATAAAATATACAGATTTGAGCCATCTTTTTATTCATGAGGCCTATTTGTATCCGGCTTGCACTTTCAAAACACTTCCACACAGCACTGTTTCTACTGCACAATCCCTGAAAAGTGTTTTGAGCCTTCAGACCGCAGGTTCTGAAGCAACTGAATTCTGAGAGACCCCCACCCCCCAATTTGCAAAAAATGAAAATTCAATATTGTTAGTACCCTCCCATCCACATTTTAGTGCATGTTGTATAATTCTGAATAATAGAAATAATAAATAATAACAACAACAACCACAATCTCCCAGTGAGGCACTACCTTGACGTGGTTGTGGGGCTTGTGTGCTCTGAGGAAGATGAGGGCTATGCCATACTGGACAGGTCTCATCAGAGGAGTCAGACAAAGAGTGTCTCTCCCATAAAAAATACAGTGAGACGTAAATTTCAGAAAGCCATACCGGCTCAGATGTTGCCCGAGTTAACAAGATCTGTGGTAGATGTTGGAGTTCCTGGATATCTGGTGAAAAATGGGCTACAGGACTCAGGACTGTTGGCTGAGCAACCAGGGTCAGCAGCTGCAGAACTACTGGAAGAAAAAGTGTTTACCCATCGCAAATACACAGTGATTGAAAACAAAGAAATAATGATCTGTTATTACAGATCAAGTCCAACAAGAAGAATGCACCAGTTCTGGAAAGAACAACATCCAGAATCAGAAATAACAGAACAGAGACTAGCAGATCAATGTCAATTTATAATACGAAATAAGGCATTCACAGAAACAGAACTAGACAGACTGCAAAGGTTTACCCAGGGCAAAGAAACCAAAGCCCTGCCAGAAGTAACTCAGAAGGTAGAGGCAAACCAGGGGGAGTTGGCAGTAGAGGAAGAACAAAGCGCTCTAAGTAAAGAAATAAAAGCATTGAAACAAAGAATATCTGAGCATCTAGAACAGCACAAAAACAACAAAATAAGAGGCCTGCATTGACGCTTGTTCCAAAGAAACAGCTGGCACAAGCATTAAAAGATGCAAATACTGCAATATCAAGTATAAGCACCATCTCACTGCAAGAAACAAATCAACTAATGTACAGCACAGCTGGAGTTATAACTGAATACCTGGGATGCAAAATCAACAAAGAAGAAAAAAAACAAACAGTGCACCACAAAAATGGAAGGTTAGACTAGAAAATAAGATCCTCTGACAATATCTGTAACACCATCAAACATCCACATCTACCTATCCCAGGTCCTTGGTAAGGACTCGATAGGTAGACAAAAATGCCAAACCCAGTCTGAACATCTGGCTGACTGTGCGATGATCAAAAATAATACCACCATTGGCATTGACAAAATCACCTTCAGTCAATTGCGAAAGGCTGCTTTACCTGGAACAGCTTACATCATGCAACAATACCTTTAATGTTATTAAACAACAGCATCTGCCTATCCCAGGTCATTGGGAGAACTTCATAGGTAAATAAAAATGCCAAATCCAGTCTAAGCATCTGGCTAGCGGTGTAATCAGCCATAGTAATATATTTGTAATGGGGTGGATCTGCTTGGCTACAAAGCATTATTCCTCCTCACAAATCTCACCTAGAGCCGTGAAGGTGGCGTGACCTCACTATATTAATTTCATAACCAGATGCTTTTGCCAAAGCTTCTAATCTTGGTTGTAGGTTGCCCTGAGGGGGAAGACAGACAGCATGAGGGGGAAGACAGACAGCCTTGAAGCAGTCCAATTTCCCCTGTAAACAGAAATATCATTTTTCTTCCAGACAGGATTATCCCACTATAAAGCAGAAATTTATTAGCTCAGTTGCTGAATATAGAACACATCATGAGAACACAGACTTGCAAAGCTGATTCTGTAGAAGAACAAAGAAATAGACTGTCTCCTTTTATGTTCAAGGATTATTTGCACATGGATAAATTCAAACACTGGCTAGTCTTCCTACTGCCTGAAGTACTCTGGTCCATTAACAGATGCTCCACACAAACATGTGTCACTCAGTTCTGAGCCATTTCATTAAACATGCTTGTTTCTGTTATCTGCAAGCCAACCTAAAATGGAGATCAAGCCTGCACTTGGGCTGATCTGCCTTAACTGAGGAACTGAGAAGAAAATTCTTAACTTAATGGATAAACATCAGGCAAGGAAAGGTGTGTCATCTGTTATTTTTTTTCTTTTTTATCTCTTATTCCCAGTATGCCACTAGCAAAATGTTTTGGAAACTTATATTTGACAAAGAAACTTTGTGTTCTGCTAGCGATCATCCTCCAAAGGTTTTGTTCTCAAGCCTTTAAAAGTTATTATATTTAGATTCTGAATGGGTTGCATATTTATCCATAGCAGTTTTGTAAAAATAGGCTAAGAGAGCCAACTATTCCTCAATGACTAATTCTGATCAAATTGATCGAGGGATTTTTTCACTGTTGTCAATTCCTGCAGATGCTCTGGCAAAAAAAAAATAAGTCAGGCATGTTAGACATTTAAATGCTAACATTTCATCTAATAGGAATATGAAATATCAATCAACTCAGGCAAGAAGTGAAGGCAAGTGAAAAGTTTGAAAATTATGTTCCTTTCCCTCACAATAGGCAAAGGACGCTATGGGGAAGTGTGGCGTGGTACTTGGCATGGAGAGAATGTGGCTGTCAAGATTTTCTCTTCCCGTGATGAGCAGTCATGGTTCCGTGAGACTGAGATTTACAACACGGTGCTGCTAAGGCATGACAACATCTTAGGTGAGTGGAAACAATGCAGAAATTCAGCAACTCTATCAGTCCCAAGAAGTCCTAGGCAAGCAAACGGAGGCAGTACATTTTAAGACCCATGTATTCTTTCTAAATTTGCACAAGGGATTTAAAGAGCTGAAGAAGCTCAGAGAATTAAAAGTCTTTGTCTCATTTGCACATACACACAACACATAATTTATAGGTACTTTGTTAGCTTCTTTGGAAATTTTGGAACTTCGGCAATGTACATTGAGCTTTACCCTCCTTTCCTGCCCACAGGATTCATTGCGTCAGACATGACATCACGGAATTCAAGTACTCAACTCTGGCTAATCACTCACTATCACGAGCATGGCTCCCTCTATGATTACTTGCAATGCACAGTGTTGGACGTGGAGACCTGCTTGCGTTTGGCCACCTCAGTCATCTGTGGGCTCGTTCATCTGCATGTGGAGATCTTTGGCACCCAGGGCAAGCCGGCCATTGCTCATCGGGATCTGAAAAGCCGGAATATCTTGGTCAAGAACAATAAGCAGTGCTGCATTGCTGATTTAGGTGAGTGGATTTTAGAGCAAATGTTTTTGGCAAAGCAGAGGTGCTGATGTGTAACTTTTTCTTAAGGGCAAAAAAACTTTCTAGGGGAAGTAATCTGAGGAAAGTTCTTCTATTCGCCCTTAGAACTTCTAAGCCTTCTGCAGTCTGGTTGCCCTCCAGATGTGTAGGCTTCAATTCATAGAATTCCTACTGAGAATCCCGGAATTAAAATTTTTATATCTGGAAGGTTGGGGGAGCCTGGCCTAACACTATACGTCCCACCCTGGGTGTATCTTAAATGACCCACCTCTGCTACAAATATAGGAACAAAATGTCACACAGGTAGGGATGAGAGGTACACTCCTGATTAGGATCCTAGCAGAGGGCTTAGAATTTAACTATTTCCTGTTTACTGCAATCCTTATCTGGATTAACTATATTGGTTGTGTGGTGTAAAGCAGGGCTTTTCAACCCATGGTACACGTACCACTGGTGTACTTTGGCACCTGGCAGTTGGTACGTGACCTAGACAAGTGTAGTGGGGGGGGGGGATTGAGCTGAAGCAGAGGCAGCATCTCAGAGGCCTAGAGAAGAGTCAGCTGGAACTGTGGTGTTGCCGGGGCTCTGCTGAGGGCTCAGGATTGGTGCACACAGCTCCAACTGATCAGCATTTCCGGTAGCCTCTGCTATCACCGGGAGCAGCAGACAGTCCTTGGGGTGAGAGAATCAGATGGAGTTGCAGGGCTGCCTGTTGTAATGGAATGGAATGGAATAATTTCTGAAATAACCACTCCTTTTCACAAGATCATATCTGACATCCACAGTTCTTTTTGAAAAAGGCACATAATTACCTGATTGCATCAGTGGTGACTATTCTTTTGTATGAGTAAACAAATAGATCTGTTCCCAAATCTGTTTACAGTGCAATAAATTCAGATAACTCATATAAACAAATCAAGTCATATGTTTTAGAGGAAAGGACAAATAACCCATGATCATCAGCCATTCACACACTAGAAAGACCGAATTTTCTGGCTTCAGATGTCAGCTTTTACCAGATCCCAGGGATGCAAGTTAAACTTTCTGTTTAGACCATGGTTTCCCAAATTGTGCGGTGTTCCTCTGTCAGAGAAGTGCACAGAGTCCAGGGAGAGGTGAAGAACCATTTAGATCAAGGGTCCCCAACCCCCAGCCCATGGACCGCTATCAGTCCATGGCCTGATGGCAACCAGGCCACACAAGTGGCGGACGAGCACAGGAAGCTCCATTTGCACAAGAGATGTGCATGCATGTGAAACCATCCCCAAAGGCACTTCACAGCTCCAAAAATGAAGCAAGATTCTTACTTCATAGAAAGCCAAGTACAAATAAAGGAAAAGAATAGGCGGAGCTGTGGTACATGTGAACTTGTATGCCATAGCTGGCTGTGGAATTCTGGGAGTTGAAGTCCACATGCCTTAAAATTGTCAAGTTTGGGAAACACTGCCATAGACAAAGGCACATACATATACCTTCATCCCACTAAACTGAAGTGCATTCTTGTGCTTTCTCTGTATACAAGCCACAAAAATTATGTTATTCTCCTAAACTCAGGGTAATGCGTTTTTTTCCAGTCAAATCTGACCTTTTGGATGTTTAGCTTCCTGGTGCAGGATTGCCTGCTTATAATGGTGGAATTGCTACTCTTTTTCAGGATTGGCAGTTATGCATTCCCAGAGCAGTGATTACTTGGATATTGGGAACAACCCACGAGTGGGCACCAAACGCTACATGGCACCTGAAGTTTTGGATGAACAGATTCGTATGGATTGTTTTGAATCCTTCAAGCGGACAGACATCTGGGCTTATGGTCTGGTCCTGTGGGAGATAGCCCGAAGAACCATTGTGAACGGTAAGGAAAGCCAAATGGAAATAAGTTAAGATGTGGTATTCTAGGGCCTTGCCTCATGGCTCAGGCAAAGTGCAATCCATTTATTCTTGCCACAGGATGTTTATACCATGGTAAGTTGCAAGTTGGATAAGATTCTAAGTTCAAAAGGAGAGCTCTACAAAAATGGATGGAAGCTTAGCAGAAATCAATCTTCTCTGATCCAGATACAATTGGATGTTTTTTCTATTAGTCACAGGACTATTTTAAATATCTGACATAGCATCTGCAACATTTAGTGGTTTCTGGCATGTGCCCACCTGCTCAGAAAAGGGTAAAATGGAAAGCATACTGGGAGGTCAAAGAGAGCAATTTCTCTTGCTTGCAGTGAGTGTTTTGTGACTGGCCACACCTACTAGGTCAGCCATTTTGTCAGGGAGCCATACATTAGCTACCTTCTTGGATCAGGCCAAATGACCATTGAGTCCAGCCATTTTAGCAGTCTGTAAAGCAGACCTGGAGTCAGTAACGCTCTGGCATTGCTGCTCCTCATCAATTAGGATTCAAAGGTCTATCTTGTGTTCAGAGGTCTATTCCCTCTTAATATGGAGATTGTGTTTAACTATTTAGAATTTCAATTATTCCTCTCCTTCATGCCAAAGTGTTGCCATAAATGGAGGAAACTGTTTACTCGATTTTCTGTATCAGCGGGCCATCTGATCAGCAGTGGTTGAAATTTCACCAGATGGTCGTCTCTGTATGTTACTTCATGCTGGATTCAACTTTCAACACAGTCTTGCATTTGTAAAGTTGTCTTTGCAGTGCTGTGACCAAAGCTAGAACCTGAACATATATGAGTGGAATAACAACCAGCTTTTCTTTTTTAAAAAAAAAACATTTTATTGTTTTTTTAATTTCTTAAAATAAAAGTATTCAGGACACACCGTGGTGCTGGGGTAATCAAACATCAAGTATTCCCTCTCTTTTTCCCTCAGATAGCATAGTATATTTAAAATATCCAATTCTAGCTTAAATTTATTCAACCTGAACCTGTTTTTAAGCTTCATTAATTTACAATACAACCAGCTTTTCATAGCTCTCTACCAACTCTTACCTGCTCAGAGATCCTGTAGTAAACAGATCCTAATTGTGTGGCCTAGAAACAGTTTTAGGACAGTTCATACATTGTGTTGAGCATAATTTGCTCAACTGTAATTTGCTGAATAGATTAAAACTGGCAGAGTTCACAGAGGGCCATTGGTTCTTTCAAAATGGCAGTGGGCCATCTCCGTTCCTCCATCAGCCCCAGCCAACATGGAGAGAGAGATTGCCTGGAACTAGAGTCTTAGGTTGTCCACCTCTATAATTTGAAGGAAAACCTCCAACTTCTGGCACTGCAGCTGAGTCCCTGCTTTATTGAGGATCTGGAATCTCAGCTGCTGTCAGAGAATGGAAGGAGCCGGCCCTGCCTGCCACTCTCCCCCTTGCATTTGGCTCCCTGTGTAGAAACAATTGCTAATCAGGCCTGTTAATGGGGATGTTTTTGACTGGCCTAGTTGGAAGTGTTTTCATTTTTCTTTTTCCACATGAATGATTAGCTGTAAATTATAAACACTGTAATCTAGTGTCAGCGCCCAGCTTGCAGATTAAAAGGACCATTAGACTCAATCAGCACTTTGTTTGTTCAACTCTGATTAGGAAACAAGCAGCATCACAGCTTAGTTTGGCAACTAGCCACCTTCAGGGAACTTCGGCTATCCTCTGACCAACGCTGCAGTGAAGCTGCCTCTGCTCTTCCATTGGCAAAACATGCAGAGGCTTCCCGTGACAGTTTCACGGTTGATTTCCCCCCCCCCCTTTGTGCTTTTAACATTCCATCAGGGAAGAGGCTGGGAAAGGATCCCACCTCTGAAGTGTTCTCGCCTGCTGCAGACCTGGCTATACAAGCTTGCAGTGGGGACCGCTGAAAACCAAGCAAAGATCCAATGGATTTTCGGTGGGTGTTTTATATGGTTTTATATCTGTGTTAAATATCAAAGCAATACAAAACTGATATAAAGTTGAGAAAGAAAAGAAAAAAGAACTTAAAGAAAAAGCTAGAAGAACAAGAGAGAGAGAGAGAGAGAGCGAAAAAGGTACAAAGGAGTGTCCTCCTGATCATCTTTACAGCAGTTATAAGAACAGCTAAAAATTTATCTCTTACTCTGTTACAACACATGATTCAAAATCATAAATCATAAATTCATTTTTTTTTTTAGTTTTCTGTAAAAAATCCACAAAGCGTTTCCAGTCAGCAGTAAACTTGTTTTTTGTTTCCTCTGCTCAAAGAAGTCAATTTAGCCATCCCAGCAGAGTCTATCATCTTTACCAACCATTCTTCTATCCTGGGTAGTGCCAAATCTTCCAATATTGTGCACACAATAATCTCACTGCATTTTTGGATTTCCAGTTACTGGCCCCTGGCAATTAGCGCTTGTGCAGAAACTGCCCTAGAGTGAAAAAGTAAGACAGTGTTATCTATAAACCTGTACATTTTCCAAGGATCAAAAGTATTCAGTTGATAGACTTGGATCCATGGAATAGGGATTTGAAGAATTATATTGCTCAATAGTAAAGCTTCTGTGTTGTTGCAAAGGCCCTAGTTCAGTGATGGCGAACCTTTTAGAGACCGAGTGCCCAAACTGCAACCCAAAACCCACTTATGCATTGTCTAGTGCTGGGTAGGTGTGGCCCATTGGGTGGGCTTGGCTGCAGTGGTAACGGCAGACTGGGTGGGACTAAAAAGTTCAATCAATCAATTCCAACTTTGCGAGATCTTTTTTTTCCCGCAAGAAGTTGAAATTGACTGATTGATTGAACCTTTTTTTTTGTATACGGCGGTGGAGGCTAAAGCGAAAAGGTTTTATAAAACCCAGCTGAAGGCCTAGGACTGGGGCGATGGCGCGCGTGCCCATAGAGAGTGATCTGAGTGCCACCTCTGGCACCCGTGCCATAGGTTCGCCACCACTGCCCTAGTTCAACCCTGTAAATGGGGGCCCCTTGCTGAAACTATGGGCAGGAATAAGCAATTCTGAGTAAAAGCCTACTCTCTTGATTTGAAGAGCAGCTTAAGCATGGATATACATGTGAATCAAGAGCCAGTCCAGCACTGGAGTTAGAATGCTAGAGTTAGAACTAAGGAGAAACTTCCTAAGAGTGAGGACAATTAACCAGTGGAACTGCTTGCCTCCTGCAGCTGTAGGTGCTCTGTCACTGAAGGTTTTTAAGAAGAGGCTGGACAGTCACTTGTCAGAAAGAGTATATGATCTCCTTGATTATAGGGTTGGACTAGAAGACATCAAAGGTCCCTTCCACTCTATTCTGATTGATTGAAACTATAGGTAGTCCTTGCTTTAAAACAGTTATTTAACAACTGTTCAAAATTACAATGTCTCCAGAAGGGGTGCTTTACAACTTGTAATAATATAAGAAAGCATGATGCCTTATAACATAAAAAATATATACCTAGATTCAACTTAAGTTCACATACAAGCTCCCCATTCTTTCCTCGGTTCCCGAATGCACGTTGAAACAATCATGTCTTTAAAGCTTCCTAAATATTTGGGGGGGGGGAGGCAGTTCTCCTGTCGGGGAGGCAGAGGCTCTAACATACCCTGTTTCCATGAAAATAAGCCCCAGCATGATTTTTCAAGATGCTCGTAATATAAGCCTGTCCCCCAAAATAAGTTCCAGTTATGACTGTCAGCCAGATGGACGCATTAATCCCGTATTTCCCCAAAAATAAAACCTAGCCAGATCTAATGAGTCTTTCAGAGCAAAAATTAATATAAGACCTGGTCTTATTTTGGGGCAATATGGTAGCAAGGCACCTCCTACAAGGAATGCTCAGAAATTAGGAAGATGCTATGTACTGATACTGACTACTGGTTCATGTTTGAGATTGGATTGATTTGATTGAATGAATGACTTTTATCCCACTTTTATTATCTTTCATAAATAGTTCAAGGCTGCAAATATACCTAATATTCCTTCCTCCTCCTATTCCCCCCCCCCAAAACAACCTGTGAGATGAGTTGGGCTGAGAGAGAATGACTAGCCCAAAGTCACCCAGCCAGTTTTAAGGAGGGACTAGAGGTCACCACCTTCTGATTTTTAGCTTAGTGATTTAATCACCAGATCAAGCTATGCACTCATTTTCAAATCAAAGGCTAAAGTTCTTGACTGAAGGAGAGGGAGGATAAGGGCCATGCTCCAAAAAGTAGACAGATTCAGAGAAAGATACAATGGATCTAAGAGCAAACGAAGGAAATCAAATCAAATTAAAATTCTATGAATAACATGGTATTTACTCACCAAGTCTTGAGCAATATTTCTTTCCTCTCATATTAAAATTAAAGTTTTACTGGAACATACATTATGAGCTTTGGAGGCTGCCACTAAGTTTTTCTGGGACCATATTTGCTCCTAAGGAGAATCAGTTTGTTTGCTTCGTGTTTGTTTTAATTTACAAATCACCCATCTCCCAAATGACTGGGCAGCTGACAACTAAAACTTGCACCCCCTCTGGTTTTTCCCACCCATGCTTGGTGATGCAGGAAACTGAGTGTGGGATTTTCTCTTTGCAAAAGAGGAAAGGGAGGGAGGGAAGAAAGGAAGGAAGGAAAAGAAAGAAAGAAAGAAAGAAAGAAAGAAAGAAAGAAAGAAAGAAAGAAAGAAAGAAAGAAAGAAAGAAAGAAAGATCAGAGCTTGGTAGGAGCCTTTCCAAATTATTAAATGGCATGGATTTTCATGAGCTGCATTAGATGCATAGAGTGGGTCTCCTTTTCTGCAAAGGAGATGTCCCTTTCCTTTTTTCAAGAGACGCACTCTAAGGACTAAATAACTTTACTTACCCAAGGCAGAAGGAAAAAAATGAGCAGATGTTTTAACAGAGAAATACCAATAGCCCACTTTGTCCAGGCTTATTGGAAGGTGCTCTCAATGTATAACTCTAGGTTACCACAATATAAACCCTTGCTTCTGAATGGTCTCTTGCTGTTTGGCTTCTTTTTGGCTTAGCCTAGGATGTTCCCTAAACCCAGCCACTGTACTTTACAATTTATAGCTTAGTGTGAACCCAGACCAATGATGTCTTATGCAGGAAGCTGATTAAGCAAACAATGGCTCAGCTCAGTGCCTAAAGCTAGCCATGTTGATGTCTGCTCTGTTCCAATTTGGTATTTTTTCCCCCATAACCAGAGATTATACTGTTAAAATTTGTGAGCTTGTTAATTTCTTTGTTCTAAATCTCATTACTTGTCTGATCCTTGACTACAGAAACAAGAGGCTTCGAAGAAAATAATGTCTGATCCTTGCCTATAGAACAAGAGGCTTCAAAGAAAATAGCGATTACATTAAAAACAGCCAAAATAAAATCCAATTGAGGCATGTATTAACTGTCTCCCTTTCAGCATAAACAGTACCAGTTAATAAGCCAATTACATTCACAATAAAGAACCTTTAACTGGATGCCTTTTACGTGCCCTACGGTACATGGCCCTTCTCTGTCTTTGGAAGATCCTGTATCAGCTGCATATGAAAATGTGTTAGTATTGCTTGGCATGGTTAGACCACCCTGAGGAAAAATGGTACCATGTCTATCTTCTAGCTAGAGCAAAGTACTGAGATGTTCTTTACTGGAAGCCAGGACCCCGTCATTCAAAATCATATTGTCAGATGGATTAGGGTCAAGTTACATCGAGCTGTTTAATATAGAAATATTTAACAAAGCTATAGGTAACTGATGGAGGTCCTAGGTCAGGACAAAGTACAGTGGTGGCAAACCTATGGCACGGGTGCCAGAGGCGGCACTCAGAGCCCTCTCTGTGGGCACGCCCGCCATCGCCTCAGTCCTAGGCCTTCCGCTGGGTTTTATAAAACCTTTTCTCTTTAGGCCTCTGCCGCCATGTACAAAAAAAATGGTTCAATCAATCAGTCAATTTCAACTTCTCGCAGGAAAAAAAAAAGATCTTGCAAAGTTGGAACTGATTGATTGAACTTTTTAATCCCACCCAGTCTGCTGTTACCACCGTAGCCACGCCCACCCAATGGGCCACATCCACCCAACGGGCCACACCCACCCAGCACCCGATGATGCATAAGTAGGTTTTGGGTTGCAGTTTGGGAACTCGGTCTCCAAAAGGTTCGCCATTGCTGACCTAGTAAATAGAGCTCTTTGGCCAGCAGGTGGCACCAAACGCATTAGTGCTGAGAACTGGTAGGAACCATTCTGAGCATTGAAAGAGTCCAATGTACCTAGTACAGCTTTTCAAGTCATTTGGCCGGTAATGCTGAGTTCAACAACCATTCCAGCTGAAACGCCAGAGATTTAAAAGTCCATTAATATGAAAGTTCACATCCAACTTCAGCGCAGTGTTCAATTATTGTATTAAAAATCTATTAAGAGTACACAAAGTAAGTTAAATACTGAATCCATTCACACCATGTTTGCATGTGTTTTACAGTCTGCGTGTAGTACTTTTCACTAGGTCAGCATGGACCTGGGGCTGGTTCATGGATCTTCACGTTTCAGAGATTAGTAGATTGTGTTTGGCATTCCGAGGCTCAGGGCCTTTCTGAAGAACTGAAGAACATATCAATTGTGGAGAGAAATATTCTTTCTGGTGCAGGCCTTGTTTCAGTTATCATCTAGGGCAGGGGTAGGCAACCTTGGCTCTTTTATGACTCGTGGACTTCAACTCCCAGAATTCCTGAGCCAGCATAGCTCAGCTTGGAAACCTCTCCCTTTCCCCTCAGCATGGCTGGCTCAGGAATTCTGGGAGTTGAAGTCCACGAGTCATAAAAGAGCCAAGGTTGCCTACCCCTGATCTAGGGTTTTCTTCTACTGTACACGTTTCACACTCTAATTATAAAACTGCAGACTTGAGTCCCTGATGAGTGCAACACTAATTAGGTTAGCCAGAGGAAGCCCCTTAAAAGGTGCACCCACTCGCTGAGCTAAAGTATGTCTCAGCACTTTGGAGAGAGGGCCTTTTTATGTCACCTTCCCTCAAGATTCACACTTGGTTCCCACACTTTTTGTCTTGCAGGAATCTCTTTTATATGCAAGGTCTTTTGAGTGTAGCTTTTTTATCCACTTGTAGTTGTTTCAACCTTGGATTTATTTTTATTGTTATCTGTTTACATCCTAGGATTTGAAAGATATGCTAAAGAGGACAGTGTACAGCAATAGCAAGGCACTTAGACTTACATACTGCTTCACAGTGCTTTATAGCCCTCTCTAAGCAGTTTACAGAGTCAGCCTATGGCCCCTAACAATCTGGCTCCTCATTTTACTGACCTTGGAAGGATGGAAGGCTGAGTCAACCTTGAGACAGTCGGAATTGAACTCCTGGAGTGAGCAGTGAGTTAGCCTGCAGTGCTGCATTCTAACCACTGTGCCATCAAGTCTCTGTGCAATATTTTGATGGGAAGTTAACAAAAATTGATGATTTTTTTCCAGTTAATGCATTGGTAGTTCCTTCTAGCACTAAAGATGTCAGGATTTTGTAACCATTGATCTCTAATATCTTTAAGGGGTTATACTATACTTTAGTTCAACAGATGCCCCATAATTTATAAAGATATTCTTTCTGGATTCTCACTAAACCATTTGCTAAAATGCGTGGCAACAGCAGAAACTATATAACTTTGATCCTAAATCAAAAATTGAACTACCTTGGTTTAATATCATGAACACTTTCTTGCGTATGAGTATAAATGTAATTTAGAAAAGAATACAATTGCAAATTGTCAGTGTGAGAGATTACAGCAGTACTTGTCTGTCTGTGTTTGTTTGCATAGAAACAAGAACAAGATACCTGAGTCATTAGTAACCACAATGTTTATGTGTACCAAATTTAAAGTAGCTTTCACAGTAAGAAATACTGATTCTAGCATGAGGTCTATAAGACTCTTGACTGGCAAGTAGATCCCAAAATGTATACAGATACATTTTGATTCATAATAGTTCATTTAATGACCATTCAAAGTTACAACAGCACTGAAAAAAGTGGTGGGATTCAGCCAGTTCGCACCACTTTGGCAGAACCGGAAGCTAATTTTTTGTTGACCAGGCCCAGAATGGACTTCCGGAAGCAACATCCACACAGAGAACCGGTTGTTCACATATTTGAATCCCACCATTGCTTATGACCATTTTTCACACTTGTTGCCTCCCTATGATCATGTGATCAAAATTTGGACGCTTTGCAACCAATTCATATTTATGACGGTTGCAGTGTCCTGGGCTCTTGTGATCATATTTGCAACCTTCTGACAAGCAAAGTCAGTGGGAAAGACAGATTCATTTAACAACCATGTTACTGACTTAACAACTGCAGTGATTCACTTAACATTTGTGGCAAGAAAGGGGGCAAAATTCACTTAACAAATGTCTCCCTTAGCAACAGAAATTTTAGGCTCAATTGGGGTTGTAAGTCAAGGACTACCTGTATTCTATGGATAAGAAACAGGATTCACATGAAGAATTATTGTTTTTTATCTTCCATTCTGAAAGAGCCAGACCATTACATACACTAATTCAGTTGCCAAAACTGAAAAACACTGATTTAGACCAATTTAGCCTCATTTTACCATTCTCCCTATAAGAAAACAACAGCCTCTGTCAAACCTTCCTTCAACATTACCCCTTTCCCCCCCCCCCATCTTCCTGCAATTTACCTACCTTGCTAAGCTAGTGGAAACTGCTTTATTGCCTTTAAGGGGAGACATGTGAGCATTTGCTCATGAGGCGTGCATGGGCATGTGCGTTGTCACTAACAAAGCAGTCTCACCACTTGCTATTTCTCAATGGAGGCTGTTTAAAAGATTTCTTTCCTGTATTTTTCCGCTCAGCTTTCTCAGAGCTCTTCTCTCATGCTGTTTTTGTAATTTCGTACAAGTACATTATGCCAGGAAAAAAAAAATGTCTGAAATGTAATACTTGATAATTTTGTAAATTTCTTTAAATTTCTTTTCTGCGGACTGGAGGGGCCGTGGGTTTACGTATTGCCTGCATCCCACGGATGCGGCTTCACTTGTTTAAATGGACCAGTTTCTGGTGCTTGTCCACAGACTGGGGGTTGGGGACCCCTGAACTAGAGCACTTTGCCCTAATATGTGTTATGTGTCCACTAAGGAGGCGCACTTATGCCTGGGATTGTCAGACTAGAATCTTTTCACTGAGATTTTCCAGAGGAAATGTTTTAAAGTCTTTTCTTTAACAAACTCTTGGAATTGTTTGGGTTGCCAAATGACAGAAATACACATCAAGAGGGGTCTTTTATACAACAACGTCCTCAAACTCAGTTCAGTTGTTTTTGATTCCGGAGGAAAATAAAAGCCATTAGCTTATATGGCTTTGGAGAACATAACTGCTGGCGTAGGATCTAAACAAATTCCAAGTATATGTTCCTGATGATTCCCCTTGTCTGAGATAATGGACAGATTTAGCTTCTTTCCATATATATACCTGTATACTCACAGAATTGAAATAGAACCACTCAAAATTCATTTTTTTCTATTTGTATGAGCCCGATCCTTTATCAGCCAAGTCCTGAATCTGTGTAGTTTTTCTTTGGCCTTATTTGACTATGTTCGAACACCAGGACCAAGGTTGGACATAACAGATGATACCAGAAGATGATGTTCACATTGAATAATTTCTGCATGTTTACAGTCTCAAGGCTTCTCCTTCCTGTTCCCTCCGTCTTTTTATCCTGCAGGGATTATTGAAGATTATAAACCTCCTTTCTTTGACTTGGTTCCAGTCGATCCCAGCTTTGAAGACATGAAAAAAGTGGTTTGCATTGACCAGCAGACACCCACCATTCCCAATCGGATGTTCTCTGACCCAGTGAGTGATGCAATCTGTTAAAAAGATAACTTTTAGCAGTTTGTGTTGTTAACAGGAGGGGGTTCCTGTTGTTTCAAAAAGGACGCTTGTTGAGCTAGGACTGCTGCGTGGCCATCAACTTCCAAACTAGGGGCAGAAGCAAAGAAAGCATCTTGTACCATGCCAGCATAGGAATCAGGCTTCCCAGCTAGATCTATTGAACAGTTTGGGGAGACAGAAGCCTCTTCCATTCAAAAGGGAAGCTATGCCCTATCCCAGGGGTAGGCAACCTTGGCTCTTTTATGACTCGTGGCTCAGAAATTCTGGGAGTTGAAGTCCACAAGTCATAGAAGAGCCAAGGTTGCCTCCCCCTGCCCTATCCCAATGATGCCATGTATCTTCTAGCTGTCTTGGAAAGATGAGATGATTTACCCCATCAGTTAATTCACTTGCCTTCTTCTCTGAGAGAGCTGTTCTGATGGTCATTTTTAGCACTTCCTCCAAAGCAGTGTTCCTTAACCTAAGCAACTTTAAAATGTGTAGACTTCAGCTCCCAGAATTCCTCAGCCAACATGCTGACTGAGGTATTCTGGGAGTTGGAAATCCACACATTTTAAAACTGCAAGGTTGAGAATCTCTGCTTTACAGCTGCAGGGTAAGCATTTCCCTATAACAGTGATGGTGAGCCTATGGCACGAGTGCCAGAGGCGGCACTCAGAGCCCTCTCTGTGGGCACGCGCACCAGAAGACACTGTGCCCATATGCGTTTTGCCCTTTCCAGTTCTCTATCAAATCTTTTTTCTACATTTTCTGTCTTTCTCAATTTTTTCTTTTTGTTACAAAAACCAATAATGAATGAAGCCAAGGGATAGGGAAGAAAATCCATGACTTGCTCTCTGTTTTCTGACTTGATACCTGGCAAATCAGCTGCAGGACCTATTCTTGACTTTTATAGGACAGATTGTGTTGTAAATTATGACTTCAGATCCCTGAGAGAGAATCTTGGCACTGGTTAAGGGAAAGAAAGAAAGAAAAAAGAATGCAAAGATAAGACAAGCAGGAAGAAATGTGGGCAGCGGCTGTTGGAATCCCAGAAGCTAGAGGGGAGGGTGACCAGGGCCTTGGGTGGTCAGGAGATAAAATGCCAGCACAAAGCTATTCACCCTCCTTAGAATAAACCATGCATGCAAACAATGATAAGGGGTTGTTTGTTGTATTACAGGCCACCAAACTGAGGTTTCCTTCATGTAAACAAGGGTGTGCCCCAATTAGCAATTGAATTTGAACAGGGCCACTATCTTAATTAAGCCAGGGATACATGAAGAGCCAGCATCATTGAATCTGAGCACCATTTCATTCCTTGAAGAGTCCTGTCCACTATTTTACTGCGTAAAAAAGCTTCTATTTCTCATCCTCATATTCCTATGACATTTTTTTTTCGTTCCAGAAACCACTAAATGGTAAATATCTCATTTTGTCCTTAAACTGAATTAAGTGGTCAGATAGCAAATAGCTCAAGATCACCAGATGAACCTCTTGACTGAGGTGGATTTCCATGGGACAAGCATTTCTGTGGCATACCGTTGACTGCTGAGACACTAGGGCAGGGGTAGGCAACCTTGGCTCTTTTTATGACTCGTGGACTTCAACTCCCAGAATTCCTGAGCTAGCATGGCTCAGCATGGAAACCTCTCCCTTTCCCCTCAGCATGGCTGGCTCAGGAATTCTGGGAGTTGAAGTCCACGAATCATAAAAGAGCCACGGTTGCCTACACCTGCATTAGGGGAAGGGGAGTCGATAGTGGGTTTTTTTTATACAGGTAGTCCTCAGCTTACAACTACAATTACAATAAATTTCTATTGCTAAATGAGTTGGTTAAGTGAATTTTGCCCCATTTTATGACCCTTTTTGCCACAGTTATTAAGTGAATCACTGCAGCAATTAATTTAGTAACACAGTTGTTAAATGAATCTGGTCTCCCCATTGGCTTTGCGTGTCAGAAGGTCGCAAAAAGTGATCACATGACCCCGGGACCCTGCAACCGACATAAATATGAGTCAGTTGCCAGGCATCCAAATTTTGATCATGGAGATCCTACAAAGGGTGAAAAACGGTCATAAGTCAATGTCATTGTAATCTCGAATGATCACTAAATGAACTGTTGTAAGTCGAGGACAACCAGTACTTTATCTGAAAAGGAGACAGTGGAACACAAATTGGAGTGGAGTGTTCCGTAATTAAGAAACTCTTCCCAGACCATCATTGCCAGCTACCTTGAAACACAAATAACTTATCCTCAATAGTAAAGTCACATGTTAGCAAATGTTAGCCAAAACTGTACCACGTCCTCCTGATTATGTAACTTTTTCCTATAACATGGGAAATTTCGTAATGTCGTCACACAAGCGATATGCTGAGATGACACTTTTAGAGCTGACATTTATTTGCGTGCCTAATGAAGCAATAGCGTAACTTCGCTGTACACCCAGGAAGAAAGAAAAACAAATGCAAATAGACCCAACCATTTTCGCTGATGTTACTCTAAAGTTACAACAAATAGGGATGAAGTCGCTCACATTGTCCTTTGCCAAAGATTAAATATTTCTAGTGATGGAGTACCCTTCACGAGATGCACCAATGCATTTATCTTGCCTACATTATGGCAAGAATGCTTTCCAAAGGCTGCCTTGGAAGACCACTCAGAAGCTTCATCTCATCCAAACTATGACGGTGCAAGCAGTTAAAGGCATGCCATTGATTGCTAAACACAGGGAGTGCAGGCGGCTGCAAGTTCACTGTTGAAAAACCTGGATTCCTTTGCAGATTACCCATCCTTTGGGAGCCGGCACTCATCTGCTAAGTTTTAACCCTTTTTAATGCCCAAGTAGAACAGTTTTTTTCCTTCCCTGTCCATCTGTCTCCTGTGCTTGTTCATCTCTCTGTTTTGTTCCTGTCTTCCTCTTTGTTTCTTTCCCAGCTCAGCTACCATTTTTACTTGCCTCTCCCCATTCTTTTTTTTTTTTAAAAAAATGTGCGGGTTTAATTAAATTTAATTAATTAAAGGATGTGTCTGTGCACAAGCATATACAGTGACTATCTAATGACCATTCAAAGTTACAACAGCACTGAAAAAAACTGACTTATGATTGTTTTTCGCACTTAACGACCATTGCAGCATCCGTATGGTCACGTGATCAAAATTCGGGCACTTGACAACTGGTTCATATTCATGACGGTTGCAGTGTCCCAGGGTCATGTGATCACCTTTTGCGACCTTCTGACAAGAAAAGTCAATGGGGCAGCCAGATTCATTTAACAACGGCATTACTAACTTAACAACTGCAGTGATTCCCTTAACCACTGTGGCAAGCAAAGTCATAAAATGGGGCAAAACTCATTTAACTGTCTCACTTAGCAACAGAAATTTTGGGCTCAACTGCAGTTGTAAGTTGAGAATTACCTGTATATGTACTTGTTTTTGTGTACATGAGGTTGATTTTGGTATAATTGGCCATATGCAGATGGGCCTTAATTTATTTTATAAATGGGTATCTTATTTTATAGGCATTTCATTCTAATTCATTCTATTTCTGTTATTTTTTTTTTGTCCCTGTCCTTCCTGGACAGAAGCATATAATTATTATTATTATTATAAAATTGGAAGGGACCTTGGAGGTCATCTAATCCAGGGCTTTTCAACCAGTGGTATGGGTAACACCTGTGGTACATTGGCACCTGGCAGGTGGTACGCGACCATCCTAGAAAAGTGGTAGCAGGGGAGGGGAATGAGCTGAACTAGTGGCAGCACCGCACAAGCTTGAGCGAGAGATGGCTGGAGCTGCAGGGTTGTCAGGGCTCAGCAGAAGCGCCAGGATCAGTGCCGCTTTCCAGCTGGAGCTCAGAGCTGATTCTGGCACTTCTGCTGAGCCCTGAAGAAGCACCAATCAGCTGGAATGTTGCCTTATCTCCAGGGTCTTGTGATTTACATTCAGATGCGTGGCAACTGATTCATATTTATGACGGTCACAGTGTCCCAGGGTCATGTGAAGTGACCAAAATCTGCTGCATCAGATGGGGGGAATAAAAACCACACACATCCCACCCCACCCCCGTTGCCAATCCTCAACATAAATGCTCACAACAGTGGAAACTTCGGACAGGAGGAAGAGCGCCACCAGGTGGGCAGGCAGGTGTCTTGCTCGGCTGTGGCTTGGGGGGGGCACTTTTTTCAGTGCCATTGTAACTTCGAACAGTCACTAAGTGAACTGTTGTAAGTCAAGGACTACCTGTACTTCATCACTTTTTTCCTTTTTTTTTTGGTCAAGTTTTAGACACCTTACTTGGCGACTGGTGGTACTCAGATATTGCCGTATCCTAAAAGTGGTACAATGGGTGAAAAGGTTGAAAAACCCTGATCTAGTCCAACCTCCTGCTCAGGCAGGAAACCCTATACCATTTTAGACAAATGGCTGTCCAGTCTCTTCTTAAAAACTTCCAGTGTTGGAGCATTCACAACTTCTGGAGGCAGGTTGTTCCACTGGTTAATTTATTTATTTATTTATATTTTATTTATTAGATTTGTTTGCCCACATATTTATTTGAGAGGGTGGGCCTTGCAGAAGATTTTTTTTTTCTCTTTGTCTACTCTTTCATAAGTAGTCATCTTAAAATTCAGAGTTGCCTTCTATTCTGTAAGTAAGATATTTCACTCTTGATGCCTTTCTGATATCCTCAATGCTTCTCCCCTCAGGGGCCATAGCTGTTGCTAGGACACCTCCCTCCCTCCCTTTCCCAGAACTGTGTGATTGACACACAAGCCTTTCTTCCACTTTTCTGCAATCCTTGTCTTGGTACCTGCATAATGAGGGATGAGGGATTGAATCTGTTACTGCCCCCCTGAGGTGATCTGCACTCAGAACACAATCTGTGAATGGCAGCTTATGGAGAGTCTGGAAAACACCATGCCTAGTAGATTCTACTCCGACTTTCATTTCAAAGTGTACAGAGCTTCCTGTTTCCAACAGACATCTCCAGAAATCCCTGCTCCGTCAGATAAAGGGAGGGTTATCTCTACATTCTGTCTCCTGTAGCTTCTCAAATGCATTTCTAAATCCTCAGAAGTTCATTTCCTCAGCTTTTTTCCCCCTCCTTTGGGGAGATTTGTTTGCTAGTTGCAGATATAGCAGCTACATAGTTGAATGAAGCCAACTGGATAACTTAGTGCCAGTCATTCTGTCTCAGCTTTAGGTAGAAGGCAAAGACAAACCACTTTTGAAAAATCTTGCCCAGAAGAAAAAAAATTGCAGGGACTTGTCCAGTCAACAGAAACTAACATTGACTTGAAGGCACCTTTCCCACCAAACAAACATATTTAATAAACTCCTGCTTAGAAGCTCATGTATTTATTTATATCTCACCTTTATTAACTTTAAAAGGTGGCAAACATACATAATACTCCTATTTTCCTCACAACAGAAACCTGTGAGGTGGGTTGGGCTGAGAGAGCATGACTGGCCCAAGGTCACTCAGTTGACTTTCATGTCTAAGGAGGGACTAGAAATCCCAGGCTCCTGGTTTGTAGCTTGGTATCTTAACCACTAGACCAGGGGTAGGCAATCTTGGCTCTTTTATGACTCGTGGACTTCAACTCCCAGAATTCCTGAGCCAGCCATGCTGAGGGGAAAGGGCGAGGTTTCCAAGTTGAGCCATGCTGGCTCAGGAATTCTGGGAGTTGAAGTCCACAAGTCATAAAAGCACCAAGGTTGCCTACCCCTGCAGTAGACCAAACTGACTCTCAGATAAGCTGCAAGCCATATTGAGGAAAAAATAAATAAAAGGAATTGTATAGCCCTAAGATCTTTTCTACATTATCACGTATCACAAATGGAAATCGACCAAGTTTGACCCTATCAGAGTAGTAGAGAGATTTTAATATTTGATTCTGTGTTGATGATGGCACATCAATTGGCTCAACTGCTGTTTTGCTGCAGAGATAAACCATGACAATAAAATCATTTATATTATATCTTACCAAACTTCAGTCTCTCTCCTCCCCCAATTCTTTAACATATGTCTATCCCATTCTTTGACTGCTGCAGTTGATATGTACTGATCAGATAGGACACCTAGGAATAATTTTGTGAACTCCAGTACTAAAATTCTTTCTTCTACATTTCAACCAGAATACCAACAAAATCACTGGTGCTACAACAGACCTTCCAACTAAAACTGAGTAGTTTTGGGGGGCAGATCACCCTAGTAGACCTGTCCTTATTGGACATGAGATGCAGATATAATGCAACCTTAATCAAAGACTGAGCCACTTATGACAATCAAAAGATCTAAGGTACAGGTAATCCTCAACTTACAACCACAATGGAGCCCAAAATTTCTGTTGCCAAGAAAGACAGTTGTTAAGTGTATTTTGCCCCACTTTATAACCTTTCTTGCCATAGTTGTTAAGTGAATCACTGCAGTTCTTAAGTTAGTAACCTGGTTGTTAAGTGATTCTGGCTTCCCCACTGACTTTGCTTGTCAGAAGGTCGCACAAGCTGATCACATGACCCCAGGACACTGCGGCCATCATAAATATATATCAGTTGCCTAGCATCTGAATTTTGATCACATGACCACGGGGATGCTGCAATGATCGTAAGTGTGAAAAAGGGTCATAAGTTACTTTTTTCAGTTACTTGTAAATTTGAACTCTTGTTGAGAACTACATGTATTCCTACCAAACAAACATCTGCCTGATCTGAATGAGAATATAAACTAAGCATTTGATTTTTGTTGTGTGTTGACATTATAGCTGTCCTTGGTGCTATAGACTTCTGAATTGCTCCAAAATTCAGACACTGAGAATATGACTATTCCGCTCCTAGATGTCATAAATCTAGAAAACTTCAGCATCATCTCCAAAGCTAGCTCTGACTGAAATTCTGTCAGGCTATAGGAAATGACATGACAATGTTAATTCCTTAATTTATCCTGGATCCAGAGCTTCTATCCTTATAGACCCTAACTCTGATTGTGGCACCAAGTTCAACAAATACCATCCCCGACTTCCATCTCATATTAGCAAGCAGGCCTGATATTTAAAAACAGACGGACCATCCTTTAAAACATGTAGGAAAGTCTCATAGTCCCACCTTTGTAAGACTAGTGATCACAGCATGATGTACAATCCCAACATCAAGAACTTATTCAGTAAACCATAGTTAAACTGTGTCAAGCCTTTGCTCAGGATGGGAGTCCAGTGCATACACATGCAAGATTCTAGTTGTGTAGAATTCTGGAAAATGTGTTAAGTCTAGATTTTGATTCTAACTATCCCTTCTCTTTCCCTCACCCCTCTCACCTTCCAGGCTTTATCTTCCCTAGCTAAGATCATGAAAGAATGCTGGTTCCAGAGTCCATCAGCAAGACTCACAGCTCTGAGGATTAAAAAGACACTGAAAAAACTCAGCAACTCCTTCCACAAAGGCAAATACTCTCCGAGCTTCTAGGACCAGAGATTGGATTTCTAACTCCTTAGCTCAAAGGAAGTTCAAGGTCACCCCTTCAAAGTTTCCTGCTGGTCCTGGCCTCTGTCTGTGGCTTCAGTAAACTTCCTTTGAAACTTGACCAAGAGGATTTGGACTAGAGCTGTATGGTTCAAACTGACTCTCTGCAGGGAAGTTTCACAGAACAGATGACAGCTTCTGGAATCCTTAATTTGCTCCTCTAGCAACAAAAGGAGGGGGGCATGCCCACTTTTTAGAGAATGTACATTAATATAAATACTCCCTGGATCTGTAACCTGACGCCAGCCCGTCTCGCCACCAAATCCTGAAAAATGGGAGGGATCCCATTTGCAAAGAACACAGCTGCTATGCCCAAAGGGGTGGCTGCCTTTGAAACGCCAGTTAAGGATCATTTGCAAGGTAGTGTTTAGATTGAACATATAAAGTCTGTTCGTGCCTCTAGCTGTGTGTGCACGCATGTGCATACATGTGTGCAGAGGAGCCATTTCAAAAGTGCATGCAATGGTTTAAAGGGGCAGATACAACTATGCAAACGTTTGTGCCAGATAAATCTGAGACCGCTATGGGAATACAACAATTCTGTCTGTCCATATGTGAATATGGTCAGCGTGATATTGCTTTGCTTGTATGTAGTCATGATTTTTTATATATATAAGCCTTAATTTAATAGCACAAGGCTCCAAAATGGCTTTCCATCCTGTAATTGATTTTACAACCAGCCGTGACTAGCCCTGTCATATTATCCCAGAACATGATCAGTAGAAACAGGGTGTAGCAACCATGCTGAACAGAGCTGGTTTTATTCTCCTTATGGATGGAAGACAACTAGTGAACCTTATGCACACGCACACACACGCACATGCACACATATGATGCATTTTTTCCTGCATTTGAATCCAGCAAGAGTTAAGCATCACCAACACTATAATGTTCAGCCACTGCAGCTTTTCTTAGGAGTTGTCATTTTTTAGGCAATTTGGAACCAAGGTGAATGTCCAACAGCTGTATTTGCATATGAACACATCAACTTAATTTTGAGAAATTTAAGTATGCAGATGCAATATGAGGCAAAAGTCTAACCAAATAAAAACTTCACCCTTTTGATTTTAAGATGGTGGTGAGAGGAATGGGCCCTATCTATAAGCTGGGTCAAACATTACTCTTTCCACTTGGTGTTACTGTATTGCACGGACGAGTTGCAGTAGCTGTAAGCTACACAAACCCTGTGCACAAACTGAGTCCAATAGTTCCACTAAGACTGAGATGGGTAGATTCCTTCTTGACATGCCAGATACATCTATAAGTGAACAAATTGCAAAGGCTAAGGCCTGTCCTTGTAAAATTACTATTTTGAATAAAAGGGTGGAAGGTGGAAAACTTTTGCAACATTTAAATCAGGCCTAAGACTGAACGTCTGAATAGCCTGTTACAAGACAAGACATAGCATTAACAGGAAAGTGTAATGGGGAAGTGTTCATTCAGGAGAATTGTGCTAACATCTCCAAGGAATTAGCTTTCTATGTCTTAGAAATGTATGTCAGCATATAACATATCCAGGATAGCTGAGTAGAAGAAACTGAAAAACACATAATCTCATTTCATCCAAAGCCTCTAAATTGCTTTGAGATCATTACTAATTTGCACAGAAATTATTTTTGTATTTATTAAACATGCTCGGGGGGGGGGGGGAGGTGGGAAATCAGCAGCTTTTTGTTATTGTTTGCAAAAATGTTCCAAAGATTCTATAATGGGAAAGAAGGATGAGAGACACAAATTAACAAAGGAGGACAAAGAGTTTCAGAGGAGAAAACAACAGTTTTTTGTTTTTTTTTTTAAAAAAAGCTACAACTCCACTCAGAGACCACTTAAGTCCCATTAGGACTAACAGGAGTCAAGTGTTCTAAATGCACTCCCAGATGGCAAGTAATAATTAAACTATGCCTTTTCTTTCAGCTCATAAAAATGAGTGGTGCATGAAAGATTGCTGGATTACAGTAGTTTAAAACAGGAGAGGAAAAAAACGTATTTGTTGAGGGACACATCCAAAGCTGAATTGGAATCTGAATCCAGGATTTCCTCTAACAAACATCTGCTTGTCAAAGTCTTTTTTGACATTTGCCATCAGATACTTCAATAAGGCTGATTGAAAATATATCTATGATACTGGAAAGCTAGTCTAATTGATTTTCAGGAAATTGCACACTTAATGCTTTTTGGCTTTTAGATGCACATAGTATTTTATAAATAAAACCTAAAAATGCCAGCAATAAATGTACAGTAATAAAAAAGGTTTTGCAGATATACCTATCATATACGAATCAGGTAGGGTTAGCTGCGGATGCTTGTCAAACATCCACAAATGCACAGTTTGTCTGGGTTTAATTCTGATCTTTTGGGATAAAGATAGAAAAGTTAACTCTCTGGAACCCAGGAAAAGCCACTTTTAGTCAGTTTGTAGAATCCTGAACTAGACGGTTTCTTATGTTCCTAAGTGCTCAACAGCTGCATGATTTCATAGCCAATTGCTTGCTGATTGCAAACTGCTGTTTATCCAGGATAGATGAGTGTCCAAAATATTGCGGCTGGCTCCATGTTTTTATTAGTCTAGGAAGTTTTGAATTCCATGTAGTACAGGCTGGAATTTTTATCAAGTTGTTTCCCCATTAAGAACCCAACCAATTTTTCAGCTTTGATAATGGATTTTGGACAAAGCTGCAAAATAGCACATTGATAAACCAAGAAAATACGGTACTATGTTGGATGCATCTGCTATTCCAAACCATCAGCCTATTTTCTAGCAAAACGGTGCCCCCGCAGCCCTCCAATTGGCACAGAAGCTTAGCTGTATGTTTATTTTAATCAGAAGCTTGCCCATGTGAATCAATAACATATGTAGTAATAAGTCTACATATCCAAACAGCTCTGATCAAAAGTAATTAAGCATAAATCATTCCATGTGCTGAAAGAAGCCCTCATGTGCAGACTCTAAACTCAGGGACAAATCTCAGTCTAAGCTAAATATGGATTTGATAAAAAAAAGAAAGAAAAAAAAAAACCCCTGGTCTCCATAGCCACTGACACTGATAGCAGAAATGTGCAAAGCTGCAGGAAGAGAAATTTAGGTTAACTAGGCAGATAGGTCCAATTTAGTACACACATGTTTCTCTCATGCATACGGGATCATAATTAGAAACCATAAGAGAGAATAGATGGATTTTTCCCCCCTCAGCATGTGTTCAGAAATCCCTCTATTGTTTTCTTTGCATGTCCATCCTGGCATCTGATTGTTGAAGGACCAACGGATGCACACTGCCAAAGTGCTGCCAATATTGTTCATATAGCTTCTCACTGTTTAGTTTACATTCTTTTCTTCACCCTGTAAACATTAGGTAACACTGAAAATGATTAGGCATTCATGGTTAGATTTACAACTCAGCTGTGAATGAGCCCTGTGCACAACTCTTATACAATGTCTGTAATTTTCCAGTGAATATGTGAAGTTTTGGTATTCATGTAATGTACGCGCTCATGTCTCTGTTCAGACCTCGATTCATTTTGATAGAAAGATAGATGGATCCTATAGCTGATAATACACCAACAGTTGTCCCTAGTCTTGCGTAACTACATTAACACAAGATATAACTTTAATTCAGGGTCAGGCAAAGTGGTACCCCCCCCCCCCGAAGCTCTCTGTCCCACCTGATTTTTATGCTTTTTAATATTTTTTTTAAAAAATAGAGAATAGGAAACAGGCATGCTGCAATGCAAAGCAAAATGCTCTAACACCATATTAATCTGGAGCAATGCCTTTGGGCCCCATAAAGGCCCACTGGGAGAGTAGAAAGTACACTGGGGGGGGGAGAGGGAGTTTGTTCTCTAGCTAAATGGGCATTTGGGGATTACCCTTGCTCATTACAGCAGCCATTATCAAAACAGACAAGTCCGTCTGGGGGCCCTTTGGGGAGTAAAGCCTATCATGTGCTCTCAACATTATGAACGTGCCCCTACGCTGAGTCCACCTCCTTACTTGGTTAAGGCAATCTCAGTGTGACTGAAGACCCTGAGCCCATACACAGTGATTTCATTGTCTCCTTGCAGGAAGCGCTAACCAATCCCCTGTCATACTTGTCATGCAAACTTTGATCTTCCGGCATTTGTGTACCCTGAATGATCTCAGTGATAGTTGGCTGTTCTTTTATGGGCTTTTTCAGCCTTCTAATAAACTTTTGATTTTCCTTAATCCAGTAAAACTGTAATTGCATTTGCGTGGGGATAAATCTTACTGAACTCTGCAACCCTAACCCCGAGAAAGTGAATAGGCTGTAAACCTACTCCGAGATATGGTATGACTGTTTTGTTGAAAAATCTTTTCTGTTCAGCTTCGAGTTTAAAGGGGCAAATAGACTTATCAAGAAGCAAATCCCATCACTATATACGTGGTGCTCCCTTTTTTTTTTTTTAACTAGAGCAAAATCTAGAAGAAACAACTGTGAAATCCTAAGGACGAAAAATAAAGATGAGACACCAGGGGGAAAAAAATCCTGTTACTGTGGCAATACTGAACACTTTTGTAATTGGCACTAGCAGAAAAACTGAAGAAGCAATATGGAGGCCTCAGTTCTAACTAGCCATGTCGATGCTTGTTTTCTAAACTAGCTCCAGCTTTCCTTACCTTGCCCCATCTTTACTTCTAGAACTAGAAATAGAATTTCAAACCTGAAGAAACTGCTTTTTTTGCTCACGGGCTGTTCTCAATTTGCATAGAATGACATTGGCCTTCACGACACAGGCTATATTGTTCTGCTCTAGATACAGGAAAGTAGTGAAACTCTAATTGTTGCAAACTATAAATCCTAGTGATTTCCATCCAACCAAATGATGGTGAGGATGCTGGCAGCTTCAATTCACCAACATCTAGATGGCCACAGCTTTGTTCTATTATTATTAATAGACATGGTTTCAATGTGCTATTTAATTTGCAGAACAGGCCTTTTCTGATGCAGCATGTGTATTTACAGACTTTATAGGAAGGGAATAAGATGCATTGCATGTATGTTTTGACTGAGAAAAAACCATGGGTTTGAAGGCCATGTTCAGGAGCAGATTGCATTTTGATTAAGTAGATCAACTCTGCAGCCACTGGAAATCAATCTCATTGTTTAAACAAGACTATACAGATTCAAAATACCCTGTGTGACCCAAGCTTTTATCAGCAAAACTACTACAGCTAGAATTCCAGGAGTTTCCTGTTGATAGCAGCAACAAATTCAACCCCTCCATTTTTAAAAAAGAATTCAACTGAGACAGAGATGAAAGAAGCACATAGGCCAAAGATTTTGTTGAATGACTCTGGTATAAATCTATGATAAAAATCTGAATGTGCAATTACATTTCCTGGACTATGTTATTTCCCCACTTCTTTGTCACTAATTCCAGTAATGTTGCAAAATGTTACAATGTACATGAACTGAAAGTGACCTATTAGATAATCATTAGACTTAAAAGCCCTTTACCAAGGAAGCATGATGCATTCTTGGCTTGTTAAGGGGGGGGGGGCAGTTTTAGGACCATCCCAGTGATAAGACTGTCAAAATCCCTGTCTCACATCTCACTTGTTCAAGAGAACAGACATTTATCATTAGACAATTAAAATGGCCTTGGGGTTCAATTCAACTAAGCAATAAAATACATAAAATACACGGGTCTGAGAAGCTCCAAATTATTCCCGGACCAAATACATTTGCTTTCCAAGCCTGGGCAGCCTGTAACTCCCAGAATTCCCAGGCAGCAGGGCTATTGTTGGAAATACAAAGAGGTGAAGACTACATGCTGGTATTCAGAGTAGAAATTGACACCTCCCAGTTTTCAGAGTCACATCACTGTATGCAAAAGCGCATGTATACCAGCGACAACTATCTTCTAAAAGTGTTATCCCCAAACTGGAGCAATCCAGAAACATTAGACTATGCCTGCACTTACAATTGGAAATTGTAAAAACTGAAGTCCATCACATCTGCAGGTAATTGTTGGGAACAGCTCCCCTACAATGGAAGTTAAGTATTTTCTCTAACAAGATAGTAACTCTATCAAGTTTCTCAAACAGTACCTGTCCAGTAGCTTTTGATCTTGTGGAAGCTTGTTGCCACATTTAGAATTTTGAAGATATGTCATCGGTCTATTTACAAAATGACTTTTTGTGTGATGGTTGCTCACAAAATTGTTACCTCATCTTTTGGCTGGCACTCAACATTTGTATTGTGCTAAAGTGGTGCCCACTTGAACTCCAGAGGCATTCTTGGCAATAATGATCCTGGAGACTGACATACTACCATACTATATCATTCAGGAAGACCTGTAGGCACATCAGTATTAAATGATGTCAAACTTCTCCAAATTCTATTGATCCAGAACCCAATTCAGAGTCCTCAATGGCTCTCATGTTTCTTCTTGCGTCGACTGAAGGAGCAATAGCTCCCAATTTTCTATCTTATTTCCTCCCCCTCTGCACATGGATTAGAGAACAAACAAAAGTATACGATATCACCAAGAGAGTAAAAGAATTGCAATGGAAATGGGCTGGTCATACAGCAAGAAGAACTGAAGGCAGGTGGTCCAAGGCAGTCATAGAATGGATCCCACTTCATAAAAAGTGTCCACGAACAAGACCTAAAACAAGATGAATGGACGACATCAGCAACTATTGTAGGCCCAATTGGCAAAAGAAAGCTCAGGACCGTATTGGTTGGAAACATGCAGAAGAGGCCTTCATCCTGCAGTGGATAGACAATGGCTAAAATGATGAAGATGATGATGATGATTTCCCCCTCTGCTCCAGAATTATATCAAATACTAAGCCAGGGGTGAGAAATCACAACCAACAAGGCAGGATGTTGGATTCTTTCTCAACCTGCTTATTCTTCTGAAGGGACTAGGTCTTAAATAGGGAAGTCTGGATTGAATAGGCAAAAAAAGAAATTTCTCCACATATTAATTTGGAAATCTTAAACCAGGATAAGTCTAAGAAAATGATCAATATGAAAAATTTCGGAGTGGGAGGGACTTGGGATCTTCTGACATCAGCACATATTTGTTTGAAAGGCTAGCCTCGCGTAGTGCCTCTGCTTAAACTTCATGCTAAGGCACACCGTGATTTGTTTTTTTTTTTGGGGATCCATGTGCTATATGAACCCAAATGCAGTTTATACAATAAGCAAACACTGAAATAACAAAATATGTGAACAGTCTAACTTGACTCCTCACTATTTCAGAATTATGTGACTGCTTTTCTAAAAAAAAAAATTGGAGGGGAGAGTATGAGATGCACGGTTGATGTGATTATTTGAAATATTTTTCCCAAATTCTTTGGTCTTTCTTCACATAACATGCTTCTTTTTCAGACTTCCCTGGCCTGCAACTCAGAATCTCTCCTGGCAGGAGTCGTACAGCTAGACAGGCTCTCTGACTTAAGTTTTTGAGCTCTGGTGTAACTCTGTCCAAATGCACGCAGACTACAAATTCCACAAGTGAATCATGAGCTGTGCTTTCAGAAAGAATTTAAGATAGGGATTTTCTAGAAGGCAACTGCTCCAACAGCACATCTGCTTCCCAAGGGACCAGCAGTAGCATAATACACAGGGATAAAAGGCAACATGGAACTCCATGTCTCAAACAGAGCAAATGTATTTTCAGCACTAATCTACATGAATATATGCGTTTCAGGGGAGTCACCAATATGGCTTGAAAGGACTCAAAAACCAAGGAGCTCTCTGAATTTAGCACAACTCCCTGTTCAGTTCAAATGTTGAGTATCTGAAAATAGCTCTTCAGACTTAGGCATATCCAATGTCATTGTGTCTGCATTTTACACGACATCAACTTGTTCATGAAGCACTAAACTACTGGCTTCTGAATCCCACTCAACACTGGCCATTCTAATTTTATTTGAAATGAAATCATTTTCAAGCTCATAATTTAATGGTAAGAAAACTTACACAAATAGTGTCTTTATCAATTAACATATCACTTAACACAGAAACAACAGTTACATTCTATCTTGGATACATTTAAACATATGATAAACTACCTATTTTTGCAAAAATTACACATATATTGTATTCTTTTTTCCCCCAATGTAACAAGAGCCTGATATTTTACGGTGGGGGTCTATATACCATGCTAAGCTGTGGTTTACTTTAACAATTGCTTAGTAAATAAACTACAGTGGCTGAATTCACTCATTAGACTTAACAAATAATTCCAACAAATAATTCTGTAAGCAAACACATTTTTTTCTCTGTAGCTGAATTCAACATGTAACCATAAAGCAGAACCAAATTATATACCAAATATAATAATAAATATGTTCGCTGGATGTTACAATTTTCAGTTGACATTTTCCTATTCAAGATGTGCACTATTTTACTATTTCCTGATCCCTGTCTGGGGCGTGCAATATTTCACTATTTCAATATTTCCTGATCCAAAACACAAAGTTCTTCACACATGCCCCACCACATTTTAGTCATTTTTTTAGTAACAATTTGTACATGTAAATAAGCAAGGATGCATAATGGGAATGGTATTCAGTGGAGTTCCATAGTGCTCTATCCTGGCCTGTTTATAGTTTTATTAGTGACTTGAATGAAAAAGTTGAGGGGATAATGATCAAATATGCAGATGACACAAAACTATGAGCAACAGCTAGAGAAACAGAAGACTCTAAAAGACAGGCTTTAACAGTAGGCCAACAAGAAGAGATGAAATCTTGCAGGTAAAATATATATTTAGAAAATGAAAGGCACAAACACAGGATAAGTAAACAATAATACATGTAAGAAAGATCTGGGTGTTTTAGTAAACCACAAGTTGAACAGGGGCCAGCCATGTAATGCAGCTGCTAAGCATGCAAATGCTATATTGTGATGTATTAACAGGAACACATTCATTTTTCATTCATAAATAATCACTTCTCCACTCTACTCAGCATTGGTCAGGTTCCACTTTAAATACTGTGTCCAGTTCTTGGCACCGCATTGGGAAACTAGCAGGAGTTCAAAAAAAAGAGGCACCAAGATGGTGAGCTGGTTGGAGACCAAGTCCTATGAAGAACCATTAAGAAACCAGGTATGTCTGGAACAGAAAACTGGGGGGGGGGGACAGACACTATCAGTCATCAGACAACTAAATGGTTGTCACAAGAAGAAAGGAAGCGGCATTGTTCTTTTTTGCTCCAGAGGGCAGGATGGGAACCAGTGAGCTGAAATTATAGGTTAGGAATTTCCTGACGGTAAGCACTGCCTGCCATTGGAGGTATGCAGACAGAAATTGGAGAGCTATCTGTCTGAAATGCATTGGTGATTGATCCTATTGCACCAAATAAGAGTTTAGAAATATTTGCAATTGTAGTTGTACTTGCAATTATTTAATTAATGTTATGGCACAACTCTAGCAAAAAAAAAATCATATAACTCTGGTAACGAAATAAGCCTACTTTTTTATCATCCCTCAATGATTTAGAAATTATTTCAAGTGAGAAAAGAATTTGAGATTTTCTTGGACTGCGGTGTTCTTACATTTAAGAGTTATGAAGTGGCTACGCTGTGCATGAATATCTTTCTTTATGCAATCATGGGGGAGGGGTACCACCTGACTTCCCATACTTTCATTATATCTCAAGGGTCAGGACATCATGGGGAAAATCCTTGGAGGAGGGGCATTTTTCATAGCAGTGCCTGGCCACCACAAAGGACTGACTTATTCAACCTTTGAAAAATTATTAGAATTTATCTTTTTTTTTTCTAGAGAAATCCAAAGAAATCATCCTCCCAACGTCTGCTTATATATTTGCTGGAGAAATGTGAAAGATCAATCACACCCAACGTTACTGTGTATTTCTCACAGCCATTACAGCAACGTGCTTTTAAACTGAGCTGCCCAACACAGCTGTATCTGTGGGCATAGAAAGCGTTTTATCATCGCCAACCAATCGCGCAAAATTTACTTCATTCCAAAGTATCTGATGCAAGCCTACTGTATTATTAATAATAAAATGTTCTCCGTGTTGTCCCTCGGATGGCTTCAAAGGTGCGCGTGAATGAACGGAGCTCGAGACACCAGCTCGCTCTTGATGTCTTCCAAGCCATACACGAGGCGCTTCAGGGAGGTCACTTTCCTAGATTCCACCACCCGGTATACACACGCACGCTTTCAACCCCCGTGTCCTGGAAGGTAAAGCGACGATCTCCAGGCACGGACCCAAAAACCCTGTACCCGCCTTCCTCATGCCATGGGCACGCCTCTCTCTCTTCTTTGTGTACCGCCACGGATTTACTGTCGGAGGATAATTTACCATTGCGCTTCGCTTCGCTCCCTCCTCTCCTTTAAAGCCCTAGCGCCACATCCCCTTTAAAACCCGGCTGACTTGTCCTCTGTTCGAGCTCGCTCACTGGCGCGCGCTCTCTCTCTCTCCTGATGTCTAATTCGTCTCGCGCGGCCGCTGCTGCCTTTGCCGCCGTTGTTATTCGCGACTCCTCGGAGCCCGCGTGAGGCAGGGCGACTGCGGGGCTGCGCTCTCTCTCGCTCTCTCTCTCTCTCTCTCTCTCTGCCTCCGGCGCTGCCGTCGCCGCGGAGCCGTTGCCATGGCGGGGGGGTTGGCTCGTGCTGCTGTTCTCCGCGCCCTCCCCCCGCCCGTTGGGCTGGTGCTGCTGGCGCTGGTGCTCGGGGGCCAACGGGGGGCCCAAGGTGAGCGTCGGTGAGGAGGAAACGGAGCCTGAGCCAACATGGCGGCGGGCGCTTCGGCGCCGGGCTGGGCGTGGGAGGGCGGGGAGCCCCCTCCGAGCGGGAACCTTGGGGCACCTTCCTCCAGGTGTGTAGGTTGGCGGTCTGCGGGAGCGTAAAGGTGCCGCCATGGCCTCCTGAGCCTGGGGGCGGGTGAGGGGGAGCCCGAGTCAACCGAGAGTCGGAGGGGATGAGGAAGTCATCTTTTTTTTTTTTTTTCCCCTTCCCCTCCGTCGGTCTTCTGCCCCCTTTCCTGAAGCCTTTCCCCACAGGGTCACTCGGGGTGCAGTGCAGGGGGCTTGGGGCTGAGGTAGAGGGCCCGCGCGGGCTTGAGGTAGCGAGGTGCATGCAGGGAATGGGGAAGGTATGGCGGATAAGATGATGGAGGTATGGGGGAGGAGAGGCTGGAGTAAGGAGTATTCCGGTAATTGTGAGTGGCATAGAAATCTGATTTGGCAGGACACCATCCGAATGTGTGTGTTTTTGCTCTTGTTTTATTTTGAAGCTGAGACGGGTTTGCTTTGATCTTTTCGTGGTCTTCAATTCTATGTCTGTGATGCTTTTGATGGGGTGGATGGAGGTCACATGGCCACAAAGCCAATGAGACTCATTGTTTTCATGAACTCTTGCGGATCACATTTTGTGATTAGCAGTTAAAAACACACACCCTGAAATGGGTACCCTAGCATTGAATAAAACAAAAACAAAAAAACCCCAAACTCTCAGTAAATGGCAACATGGTACTAGAAAGATGGTATTAGATTTGAATTCTAAACCTTTTAAGTTGGCTATAAGCCAGTGGAGCTTGAGTTTACCCAAAAGCCTGTCAAGCTTAGTGACTGAAGATTCCTCTTTGCTGACTCAAAAAAAGCATCCTCAAATTAACAACCAATCAAAACTTAATTTTGTGTTTGCAGACTTTATTAATATATTTCAAAAGAAAAGTATAGGATGTTGCCTTAGAGCAGTGGTTCTCAACTTGTGGGTCGGGACCCCATTTGGGGTCAAACGACCATTTCACGGGGGTCGCCAAACAAGGCTGTCTGCCATTTTTTCCCCCTTTGGCCACGCCCCTGGCACCCGGTGATGTATAAGTGGTTGGGGGTCACCACAACATGGGGAACTGTATTATGGGGTCGCGGCATTAGAAAGGTTGAGAACCACTGCCTTAGAGGATATAGTATATACTAAAGCTTTTGATGAGATATCTTGTTATCTATAGATACTTCTTTTGGACAACTGGCAAGCTGAATTAAGAAAAGTGAATGGCTAGAATTCTATTATAAAAAGGTAGTCCTGTTTCTGATATGTTAAAAACCTGTGTTAAACTTGGTGAGTTTTGCCACGTGGTAACTTGGTTGACTGAATGCTTCAATATGTTCAAATTACTTGGTCAATTTGTAAGAGTTAATCTATATTAATCTTCAATTTTTTCTCTCTGGTAACATGGATGACCAAAATTATGATCTGAGTGCACATATAGTCATTTAAAATAATTTAAGTTTAGGTACAGTTAATCTTTGCATGGAAGATTATCTGAAATGTAATGTATGCTGCAATGATTTTATTTTGGGGAAAGTATAATGAATCAAAGCATTTAACCCAGTGTTTCTCAACCTTTTTAATGCCGTGACCCCCAACCGGTCGTAAGTCGAGGACTACTCAACCGGTTGTAAGTCGAGGACTACTCAACTGGTGCAGCACCGTTTGCAGAATGGGACTTTTGGCAGGCTCAGCAGGGCAGAGACAGCCTGGACAATTCCTATTGGCTTTTGAAAGCCAATAGAATTAGACTCTATTCAAGAGAGTCTATTCTATTGGCTTTCAAAAGCCAATAGAATAAAAGGGAGTAGCACAGCTAAGGAAAAGGGGGAAAAAATGGACTGCGTTGTTTGGCGACCCCCATGAAATGGTCGTTCGACCCCAAATGGGGTCCCGGCCCACAGGTTGAGAACCACTGATTTAACCAATTTTCCAGTAGCAAAAGTAAACTTGATTTATATGTAGAGTATAAAAAATGAATGGGGAGAAAATATACTCTCATGGACATGCTGGGATTATCAAGGAAGTTGAGGATGGAAGTTTCAGTCCAGGCAAAAAAACAAATGCTACCTCACACTGTGCAAAATGAGAACCAGCAATTTGGATAGGTTAATTCATGGGGTGGGGGATAAGAAATTTCTGTTAGTCATTGTGGCTATAAATTTAAAGGTATAAAACTGATACCTTCTTTACCATGTACTGAAAATATATGGGAAGTATTGCACTTATATTTTCTATGGGCATCTGACTGAGTGTTGTAGAGATATACTTTTAAGCTGAACCACTTTTGCATGCTTATGTTTAGGACTGGGGAAGATCTGTTCCGACCAAACAGTGCATTTACAATCTTCACAGCATTATTTCCATTTGGTTATTTACCCCATACCGAGGTGACCTCAAAATGAAAGAACCCCAGTTCAGAAGGAAGTAACAAGAAGCAAAGAAAAATAAGTAAAATTGTAAACATTGTCATGGCCAGATGATTTTCACTTAGTGACTGCTTCATTTAATGACTAAGTTATTAATGAGGACTACCTCTTATGAAAAGCATGTCATTTAAACGAATAAATAAATGTTTCAAAACAATAAAATTGCAGTTTTGAATATGTTGGTTCCACCAAATTCAGTACCTAAGGCATAGTTTAACATTTTTTCCCCATAGGCCACTGTTGACATATATAGTACAAAGTCAAAATTAGACTTCTAATGTTACTTTTTAAATTGAAGATTTGCTTGTCTTATGAATATGTCAAAATAACCTGCAGCTTAAAAAAGCAGTAAAACCAGCAAGATGGTCAGCCACAAGTATATTATTTGTATAACACAGAGGTCCCCAACCTTTTGAGCACCAGGGACCGGTTCCACGGAGAGAGGTTTTTCTGTGAATCGGAGGGGGCATGGTTTCATGTACTGCCTACATCCCACAGATGGGGCTTTGTGTGTTTGCATGGACCGGTTTCTGGCATGCCACGGCCTGGTGCTGGTCCACGGACCAGGGGTTGAGGACCCCTGGTATAACAGATACAAATACAATTAGCCTTAGAATGTTTAGGATTTCATCCTGAAATACTTGTTTAATATGGGTGGCAGTCCTTGTGAGCTTTGTAAACAAATTAGCATTATGCTACCTTGTCTCTTAAAGATGAATTACCAACAAATATTTTTTTTGAAATAGGCTAAAAGTTATAAAAAATATGTGATGTAATAAATTCAGACTATAGGATAGTCATAATCAGATTTTGCGGATGATGACAATAGGAGTCATAGCTATATAAAGTTTTTTTTCCTTTTTTTTACTTTATAGTACTTAATTCCTTTAGTAGCTGCCTGCAAGAATGGCCAGAGATGGTAATGAATGTTCTTTCTAAGAAGAACTAAGCTAAGATAATCAAATAATTTTTAATAATGTTTAACTTTAATTATAAACTTACATGGCCAACAACAGATGAAAGTGAATTTTAGAAAATTGTGGATGCATTTATAGTTAAATAACTGTCTATGAAAATCCTTATGCAGATGAAAAAGCTTTGTCTTTGATATTTCAGACTCTGAAAAGCTTACATTGATTTCCTTGTAATTTATGCTTGTTCAGAAAAATAAACAGGAATGGGGAAATTGACTTGATTATTTTTGATGGCTTTGTTTGGGTAGTTGATTACTATTTCCAGGAAATGCTGCTGCTTATTTTTATAATGTTTCTTGATAAAGTGTGCATGTTTTTTCTGTAATGACTATGCAGGCATGTAAAACTATGCAAACAGATGTATTTATCAGTGAATGAGATCAAGGAAGGAACTAATTCTGCCCAGTTACAGGTAAAGGGTATCAGTAAGTGAAAGTTATTTACAAGCTGTATTGCAAACAGCAAGAACTGTGAAAGCTTATTCTTTCAGTTGTCTGTTTACAGGCATAATGTGCTTTTTGTTCGTTGCAGAGAAGGGCAGTTTTTAAGCTCATTCTAGTTGCAATGGATATGTAAGGGTTTTTAAAAATATAAATTTAAACAATCTCTAATAATGTACAAAATATAGTTCACATTGATGTTTCCTCAGTTTGATTTCACATGATGTTTCCTCATCATATGATTGAGGAAGCTTTATGATGAAAAATCTACTCATTTCTTAAAGAAAACATTAAAACATTTTATATTATATTTGAAATCTTAGTAATTCTTAGAACATGGATGTACATAGCTCAGATTGTTTTGAATACAACATAATTTATGCTTTATTACTTTTCAAGAAAGATACTATTTAAATGGAGGCTAAGTGCACTGTCCCCAAAAGCATGTTTGATACTTTAACAATAACAGTAATTCAGCATGACAGATAAAATTCTATTTCCCCATTTCTGGCAACTGGGAAGTCTGTCCTATTGTGAATGAAGGCTTTTGCAAGTGACCTCAATTAAAACATCATACTGTATTCAGGGACTGTCAGTGCGGAATTTGATTACCTTCTGCATAAATCAAGTGAGTTTATTATCAAAGTTGGTTCTGAGCTCTCACGTTTCAAGAGGGAAGATAATAAAGGGATACCTTCTATGAGGCTAGTTAAAAGAAGCCTATTGGAAGGCAATGAAAACTGAGTTGGCAGCACTATAGTCATAACTGCTGGGATTAAGAAGCAATAAAATTGGAATATATTCCTGAGAATCAAGAACTGATTGCAATACCTGTTGTTAAGCTTAGAATACTTGGTAAAATTTATTTTAAAGAGAATGATTTAATCATCCGAAAGATTACGTATGTAATTGTGAATAAGACCATCCACAGATAAGCCAATCCTCAGAATTTCAACTGAAATACCATGAAGTAAGTTTCACTCACATATAAGCTGAGTCTTGAATTTTTAACCACAATGATAGGCAGGAAACTACAAACTTGCATCATCATTTACAAAATTGCATTATTTTAAGGCTGT